ACGACTTCGTTCCATCCTCAGTCTAACGGAATTGTGGAAAGATTTCATCGCCAACTCAAGGTTTCTCTACGCTCTCGTTTGGCTGGGTCTGATTGGTTCCATCATCTTCCCCTGGTTCTACTAGGTCTCCGAAGCGTTCCTAGGGAAGATTCTGCCATCTCCGCCTCCGAGGCTCTTTTTGGTTCTCCATTAGTGTTGCCCGGAGAGTTTCTGGACAGTCCAGAGCTGCCTTCGTCAGAATATCTCAGGAGAATTCAATCCATCCTGAAAAACAATCCTTCGATCTGGCCTCATCATTCTTCGTCCTCAGACTTGAAGCCAGACAGGATTCCGTCAAGTTTAACCTCCTGTTCTCATGTGTTTGTCAGGGAAGATACGTCTAAGCCCCCGTTATCTCCGCTGTACAGAGGACCTTATCTAGTGCTTTCTAAGTATCCAAAGTATTTTCAAGTCCAGATTGGTTCTAAATCCGATTCTGTCTCCGTGGACCGACTTAAACCTGTTCTTTCTGATCGTCCTCTGGTTTCGCAGTTGCCTCCCCGACGTGGAAGACCTAAATGATAATCTTTTTTGCAATGCAGAGTGTCCAAGAATAAACAAAAAATATTATTTCAATATTCTTATAAATAAAAAATTCTTTTTCAGCCGGCAGCTACTGTGATCCTACATCAGACCTATACACCAGTTCAACCACAGGAAACATATTTATTCAGCTGTGTACTATGTAAACAATTTGGTTTATTCGACTGATTCAATTCAATCATATAGAACAAACGATTACAAAAAGCAATTTTTAAAAGATGGAAATATCTTAAAGATGACATCAAAATTACACATAAATTTGGAAACCTTGAATTGGAAAAAAATGTATGTTTATTATTTATTTCTTATCTTTAATGTCTTTTTGTCAACAAAAATGTTGGAAATTAATGAAAAGAATCATAAAAAAATATTAAATAGATATTTGTCTTAACAGTATCAGATGCAGCAGTTCCCACAGCAACAACAATACAATCAACCACCTCCATACAATCCACAATATTAAATTACAACAACAATACAACCATCTCCGTACAATCCACAATATTAAACTACAACAACAATACAACCACCTCCGTACAATCCACAATATTAAACTACAACAACAATACAACCCCCTCCGTACAATCCCCAATATTAAACTACAACAACAATACAACCACCTCCGTGCAATCCACAACATTAAACTACAACAACAATACAACCACCTCCGTACAATCCACAATATTAAACTACAACAACAATACAGCCACCTCCGTACAATCCACAATATTAAACTACAACAACAATACAACCACCTCCATACAATCAACCAGCTCCATACAATCAACAATATTAAACTACAACAACAATACAACCACCTCCATACAATCAACCAGCTCCATACAATCAACAATATTAAACTACAACAACAATACAACCACCTCCATACAATCAACCAGCTCCATACAATCAACAATATTAAACTACAGCAACAATGCAACCACCTCCATACAATCCACAATATTAAACTACAACAACAATACAACCCCCTCCATACAATCCACAATATTAAACTACAACAACAATACAACCACCTCCATACAATCCACAATATTAAACTACAACAACAATACAACCCCCTCCATACAATCCACAATATTAAACTATAACAACAATACTATCAACCACCTTCATACAATCCACAATATTAAACTACAACAGCAATAAAACCACCTTCATACAATCCACAATATTAAACTACAACAACAATACAACCACCTCCATACAATCCACATATTAAACTACAACAAAAATACAGCCACCTCCATACAAACCACAATATTAAACTACAACAACAATACAACCCCCTCCGTACAATTCACAATATCTAACTGCAACAGCTTGCGCAACAACAAATTTGAATTTTACCAACAACATTTTATTTAGTAGACATTAAAATGAATCAATGAAACTCAATACTCATTATGTTTAAACGTCTGGATCTTGTACCTATTCTTGTTGGTACATTGGCAGTGTATTTGTCCATTGCCCTTCAAACATTTTAAAATATTAGAAGTATCTCAAATTCCTTTCATATTTGTGTCTCATATACAGCTTATAATAACATTTTATATCTTTTTTGAAGGAATTAGGAGCAAAATCCAACCTATTTTTACATCACCATCCCATCCCCAATTACATTTTACGTGTACAATTTTTTCGTGCGAAGGTTGTCAAATATGGTTTTCCAAATTATTAATAAGATTTGTATTTGGTCTCATTCCTGAATTGACAGCGCTCAGTTCTCACATGACAGATTTGTAATTGTAATATTTGTAAATATAATACGCTGGACAAATAAAAATAATTCTCATCTCTTGTAAATATTTTTTGCTTTTTTTAAAATAAGTTTTAGTTAATTTATGCACAGGGTTTCCCACAAAGCATGAGACTGTAAAGACGATCTGAAACTCATGAAAAAATGACGATCTCCAGTTGAAGTAAATCTTCTTTCTTAGATATCGTCTTTTGTGGGCTCATTAAATGATTTCGCAAAGAAAGAAACATTTACGAGTTGCAGAGAGTCCTAAATAAAAGGAAACAGACGTAAAAACTTCTGTACAATCGTCTCTGAGGTCTCATCCTTTGTGGGTAAACCTGTATAATAAGTCCCGAATGTCGTCTTCATATACATGATGAGACTTTAAAGACGATTGTACGAAATTTATTCTGTTATTTTTTTTATAAATTCCTGGCACCATGCAATTGTAAACTTGTTTCTATCTTTGCCAGACCATTTAATATTACCTTTAAAACTTATTCAACTGTCTTTGTCTAAAATCCACCTTTAGTTCTTCATATTTAAATAGTTTAAGGTCGTCATTTGTGGGTAACCCTGTGTGAATTTGTTTTGCGACATTTTCGTTTTTGTGTCTATATGCAATTTTGTATAAAAATTGTAGTATACTGGTCCCGTGATTTTCGTCTGTATCACGTGACAACAATACTGCACTGCCATTGGCTGAAGTTCCCGGTAATATATGTAATAATATAGTATCAATTATATGTATTAAAAATGCAAAATAAAAATTAAAAATTATAATAGCCACAAACCTAAGATTCTCAGGCTCCTGTGGGATATTGCATAAATTTCTCAAGACAGAAACATCAGATAGACGTTTTATATGTATCGTTCAACGCCTGAGATTCTAAGGTTTCATCCTATACCACCTTTCATTTTTTCTTTACAGTCCCTTTAATATTATCATTTTCCGAAATTTGAGAGTGACTTGTGGATATCAAAAAAAAAGATTTATGTAATTAATAAAAAACAAGAATCTGTACGAAAACACTATTGTAAAATAATTATCAAATGTACAATGAAAAAGAATTAATGTAGATAATCAGATTTTTATTTCACATTATTTTTGTATTTATCCAAGTTTATGTAGTTTTCAATTCAAGGAAAATACAATGATTCTTAAATACAGGGTGTCCCAAAAACTATGGGAATTCAGTGACGAATTTGATATCGTCTTTGTTATGAATTAGCATTGTAATACCTAATTTCAACAGCCATAAGTCTGCTAGAATTAACTTTATGAAAAGGGTAAAAGACTGTAAAGATGTGTCTATAATGTCTCCGCAAGATGAACAATGAAGACGGACAAGTTTACTTTGTTAGTGTACTGCTTTCTCAGTAGGTATCACTATACTAAATCAAAGAATTATTTGAAAAGACGATATCGAACTCGTCACTGAATTTCCATGTTTATTGGGACACCCTGTAGAATTTTGCAAGAAAAAACATATAATTCATTTATATGAAAACTGCAATTCGGAATTTGCAAGAAAAAATCATTTGAAGATATATTTAAATCCAATATATCTAAGTAAGAAGTTTTATGATTTTAAAATTACTGTTTAATGGGAGAGACCGGCTCGACATGGTAGTTGAGCTTAAAGTGCAGTATAGGGGCAGATACAGGGAATACAATATGTTATGTACAAAAGAAAATGAAAATTATTCTGCTGTTTTTGGCGGAACTGTTTTCGAATTTCCAATGGATTGTTTGTTTGATGTATAGAAAGATATTAAGAGTGATGTACACTGCTTATTGTTCATCAATTGTGCAATGAGTATTCTTTACACATGTTTTCTCTCTCTCTCTCTCTCCCTCCCTCTCTATCTGCTCAATCATTAAATTGATACAAATAAACAAAAATATAATTTATTACTTTAGTGCCATGCAACACCATGTTAAAATGTACAGTTTAGATAACGTATAATTATTATTTTCCCTTGGACTAAAAGTCCAAAACCAAAACCAAGTGGAAGACGATTTTTTATTTAGTTTAGAAAGTCGTCATATTTCATATTTTGATGTTTAAGATCAAAAACAGAAAAGCTCTTTGAAAGAAAGGTAATCATTAGACTACAAAAGGAGTACGGGAAAAGGATTGTTTTAATTTTTCTGATTTCTTTTTTACAAAAAACCGCCAAATTGCCAAACAGATAATGAATTCAAAAAAGACTAAATGAGTAAAATGAGTAATGATTTTTGAGCGAGTAATGAGTGGACATTATAAAAAAAAATAATAAATTATTTTGTTCTGGGTAACATTGGTTTAAACCCTCCCTCCGCGTTCCTCTCCGATGGAAAGTTTGGTGTGTTAGGATTCGGCAGATCCGCCGGCGGTAAACTTGATCGTTCCGTTGTAGGATCTTGGGTTGTTGTTCGTGGTTGGGCGGAGCCTAGGTTGGGAGCGGTCATGGAGCGGAGAGCGTAGGGTTTCATCTTGGTCCAATCTGAACCAGATATATCGGAGTTGGGTAAGAAGGGGGCATCCTCCTGTTCAATATTTACAAACTGAGCAAAAATATTTTTCTTTTGTTCAAAATTCTTTTTCATTGTTTGCAGTACACTCTGGTCCTCAGTTCCAACCTGAAAACAATTCACAATAAGTATTATTTTACTTTCTCAAATATATTTTTTACATTCATATGAATTTTTAGTTACTTAAAAAATGTCAATACCTGAAACCCATTTGTGTATTCATCAACTACTTCCTGAACAGCTGGGCTTAATGTTGTTGTCGGTAGTGGTCTAAATACACTTTGCTGTGGTCTGAAAGGTTGCTGTTGAACGATTCTAGGACGAAGAGTTGGTTTGTTTCTAGCAATGTTGTTTAAGTTAAGAGGTCTAGGATTGTAGGGATAGGAAGCAGTTGATTTTGATTCTTCAGCTTCAGCTCCTGTTACAGATTCTGTTGTATCGCTTACAGCATCGGTTGTATCTTTAACAGTTGTAAAAGTATCTTTAACAGTTGCAGGAGTATCTTCCTGCGAAAAAGTTGTGTCTTGAGCTGCAAATGCTAGGTCTCTAAAAGCTGTTGTTGTTGTTTCTTCATCGGTTTGATCAATGGTTGTCTCAGTTCCAGGTAAATTAGCTGTAGTTGCTATTTCTGATGGGGATAGAGATGAAGACACTGAAGGAGATACAGCTGAGGATACGGCAGGAGATGAATCTGAAGACACAGCAGGTGATACTGTCGAAGAGTCTGTGTTTGCTGGACGTCTTAGCAGAACACTTACTCCTGTTGGGGGAACAGCCTGCCTTTCTCTTCCAAATCCTTAAAAAAAAGAGGAAAGATTAATTTCAGTAGAAATGATATGAATAGAAAAAATTTTTAAAGATAATAGTTATAATACAATATAAATAACAATCAAATAATTACCTTTGAAAACATCTGAAAATACTGTATCTTCTACTAGTGAAGGAAGGGAGGGGACAGGAGGTAGAGGGGACGGGGTGGTGGTAAAGAATGAGGTTAGGAGAGAGGAGAGGTGTGCAGCAAAATCAGTTCCAGCTCCAGAAATTTCAGCAACAGAGTCGTTAGGCACAGGACCAGGGGTTTCTGAAGATAAAACAACATCCTTTTGTAATTTAAAACTAATTTTCATATTTCAGAACTTAGATATCAACTCGCATGTTCTACAAAAGCTGTTTTTAGGACTTATGTTAGACCTATAATCAATTGGATTTTTCTCCCTTGAAGCAATGGTAAAAATGTACCTGGGTTAGAATTGAGGTTGTTTGGTCTTACAAAGGGATAAGGCTGTTTCAATGGCTGCTGTTGTCGTTGAGGTTCTTGCAATTGTTGTGTCTGTGAGATTCGCTCCTGAGGTCCTTTCTGATGCTGTTGCAGTTGGCTATGATGCTGTTGCCTGAGATGGGGCGGTAGATCTACATGATCATCATGGGAGGGTGGAGCCTGTAGGGGACGAGGAGGGAGGAAGGGGGTCTGATTTCTATTGACAGGAAGGTTGGGACGAGCCGGACGAAGCTGGTTGTGCTGAAGAGGACGAGATTGAGGAGGAAGGTTAGGACGCCTGAATCCTTGAGGACGAGGTTGAGGATAATTCTGATTATTGACATTAGATGGAATCTGCTGTCCGGTAACTATAAAGGGTTCAGGTTCTGTGTCAATTCTAGCCGTGTCATTGGAACCAATGATGTCAGCTGCTACTACAGGAGTTGAACTCTCAGGGTTCTAAAAGCAGAAATCAAATTTAGAAATGTCATGAGGGCGATGAAATAAAATCAAATTTTTTGAATGATCAATTTACCTCAACTACGATTGTATTTTCCTCTGGATTGACTGGTATTTGTGTTTGTGAGGGCGGAACTAGAGGAAATCGTTTTGGCGGGAAAACTGGTTTTCCCGGATTCCTGTTAGGATTAGTTGGTTTTGCTGTTTTGCTCGGTTTTTTCTTCAAGAACGGAATAAAATCAAAGATGGAGGACTCCTCCTCAGACTCGTCAGCAGTAAAGGGTCGGGTCGGGACCTGACTTAAACCTTGTCCACGGGGAGGTCCATTGGGTCTCTGAGGTCTTAAAGGTCGAGGAGGTCCGATGGGTCCAATTGGTCGAGGTGGAGGAATGTTTTCATTAAATTGTCCACTAACAGGTTGGATTTCTGAAACTGGTTTATCAATCAATATTCAATACCCAGCATAATCTTCAATGGAATGTGTAAACCTAGCCAAAGATTATATGATAAGAAAATGAAAAGAAAACTCAGTGCACTTTTTAATTTCAAATTTTTTTCAAATTTATTTGTAGTTTCACATTCATACATTGCAATGAAACCTAACCTCTAAAACATGAAATTGAATGATTGATTGATTGGAATCACAGTAAAAACGTGTTATTCAAATATCAAGTGAAAGCGTGAATTGTTGACGTGAAATCTTCTTATATTGCGTGGGGTATCAATTCATTACACACTTTCTCACACATGCACTGATTTTTATCAAAATTAATTCGTGTCAGTCAATATCATGTTATTTGTTTAAATATAATATTGTATAGATATTCTTAGCAAAATGTATGATCTTAACGTTTAGATCATAAATTTGACTCAAAAAGTAAAGAGAGAGGTGAAGTACATTTAGCTTCCAGGCTTTATCATTTTTAAATACGTATTTTCTTATCTGTTTAAAAGGACCCCTCATGCAAAAATGGTAATGTCCGATTCACCATGATACCCTTAAAAGCTCTTTCTGATAAAGTATGAATTAGATATTTATTGGAAACGGACTTTTTTCAATTGTGGTTTCCCTAAAACATTGATTTGCGCGTTTCTATTGCATGAAAACATGATCAGGAATTATCAGAAATAATTACTTTTAAAATAGAAAAACGACAATTTCTTTTCACATAAATCGGACATTGCCCATTTGCATGCAGGTCCCTTTAAGCAGTATATCTACTGAATACAGTACCTGGAGCTGCCAACTGATCTATCTCTTCCACCTGCTCAGCATCAAGAACATTCTCAAGATCATCCTCTTCTTTGAATACAGATTCAACAATATCATCTTCAACTAGTTTCTCAAACTCTTCCTCCAGTCCAACAAAGTTTTCAATATTGTCCTAAATTTTTATTATTTTCATGGCTTCCTTATCTTTGAACTTCTGTGACCGAATTTAATAAATTAGAGAAGTCGCTGAATTACGTTTTGTCGGTTCAAATTCTGAATCTCCGATTCAAAGATTCATGAGGACTTGAATCAGTGATTCAGAATTTTAACTGTCGGTAGTTAGCTCAGCGACCTCTCCGATTCGGTCCCTGTACAAAGTTCTACAAATTAATCTATTGGTAAGTCTGTAGATTTGTTTGTGAGAAGCATTTATCTGAATTCTAAAAACCGTTGCAAGATATTTACTGGGATTAGGTAAAGACAAGTAAACAACTCAACCACAATATAGGTCTTGTTAGCTCAGGTAACTATGAAGGTGATAAGTGATTTGTTTTTTCTAGAATTTTTCTCTTTTTTTCTACAGGGTGTCCCAATAAACATGGGATATTACAACATTAAAGACGTAGCTGTGTTTCTGTTTTTTCTTTAAGAATTTTTTTCCCATGGAAAGGACTAAACGCATTTAAAGCTTTGCAAATGTGAGTTACTATCATTATTTTTTTTTTAATTGGAAATTAATTATCCTTGATATCTCTATATATCAATCATTTCAATCATTATCGGACACCCTGTATATTATTTGATATTTTTTTCAAATTTTTTGAGAACAAAAAATTTTGATTACCTCATTTAAATTTACCCTGGTATCTTTTACAATTAGCTGGTATCTCTCTTTTGGTGATATCGCCTAAAATATTTTAAATAATAATAATAATTTTTCATCAATATAAAACAGATCATAAGCACAGAACTAGTATTTGTAAGTGAAGATGGAAATGAATGGTATTTGATGACATTGAATGAATGGTAAAGGATGATTTTAGTTTGAATATTAATGAACTGGATGGTAGTATGATGTGAAACATTATGTATAAGAACATCTATCCTGAAGAAATGGTATATTACTAACTTACTAGCTGTATATGTTTTCAGTGATAACCAAAAAACAATGGAATAGGAAGACGTCATTTAAGGAATACTTAAGAGTATATGTTATTGTTATAAAGCAAATAATTGTATTGTATCACTAATTTAATTAAATTGGACCTGAACAATTCCCGTTTCCCATGGTCATTGGACTTTTGAAAGTTAATTGCTTGATTCTTAACGTCGTCTTTCTATGTCAGAGCTTTCTGGTTCTCACTGTATGTAAAATACCTGGTTATCTCTATCAAACGACGAAGGTATAGAGGGAAGATAAGGAGATGAATCTTCTAGATCTATTAAGTCTAAAATACATATGTTAGACTATAAAAGTGTCTATAAACATTACAATGTATATTTTATTATCTTCACTTCTTCAAAAACTGAGTCAGTAAAACAAAAACTTAAAAAACATAACTTTGCATGTTGCTTGGCATGGCGTACGTTTTTTTGTCTTTAACTTTACCGTGAGAAAACATTTAAAATTCATGTACCGTATATTGCAAACATTATGTACATTTTACAATAGGTGCTAGGTATTTTTGTAAATGCATTTCTCAAGGGCGACTTCCCAAGTGACAAATTCTCAAGCGGCAACTTCCCAAAGGTTAGGGTAATGGAGGCCGAGCACTGCGGGTAGGATGGGATAGAGGTCCGAGCGCTGCGGCTAAGTTGGGATGTTTCCACTTGGGAAAATACCTTTAGAAAGAACCTAACATCGTACAATATATACCTAAATCTTCGCCCTGGGATCCAGTGCTGGGCTTTGGTCTTAATTGTGAAGGTTCAGAGAGAGCGTTGTTTACTTGTTGAGTAGCCTGAGTATCTGCTAGGTCGTCTTCATCTCTCTTCAGATCATCTTGTGTCTCAAGATCTCCAGTGATATCATTTTCTTGACCAATTGGCTCAATTTTATCAGCTTTACCGTTCCCTAAAAGAATTAAGTTTTTTAACGACATAGATATATCAACCAGGATATGGATATATAAACCAGGATACTGGATATATAAACCAGGATAATAAATATATAAACCAGAATACAGGATATATAAACCAGGATACTGGATATATAAACCAGAATACTGGGTATATAAACCAGGATACAGTATATATAAACCAGGATACTGGGTATATAAACCAGGATACAGAATATATAAACCAGGATACCGGATATATAGACCAGGATACTGGATATATAAACCAGGATACTGAAAATATAAACCTGGATTCAGGTTATATAAACCAGGATACTGGATATATAAACCAAGATACAGGATATGTAAACCAGGATACTGGATATATATAAACCAGGATACTGGATATATAAAACAGGATACAGGATATATAAACCAGGATTCAGGATATATACACCAGGTTACAGGGTATGTAACCCAGGATACTGGATATATAAGCCAGGATACTAGATATATAAGCCATTATACCGTATTTATAAACTAGGATGCTGGATATGTAATCCCTAATACTGGATATATGAAACAAGGATACTGGATATATAAACAAGGATACAGGATTTTTAAACTAGAATACTGGATATAAAAACCCGGATACTGTGTATATAAACCAGGATATAGGATATAAGCTAAGATGCAAGATATATAAATCAGGATACTGTATATATAAACTAGGATACTGGATATATAAACCAGGATACTGGATATATAAACCAGGATATAGGATGCATAAGCTAAGATGCAAGATATATAAATCAGGATACTGGATATATAAGCTAAGATGCAGGATATGTAAAATATGGTACCGGATACAGGCACATTGAACCATAACAAATTTACTAAGAAGAAATAAAAACCTTGAATAAAGGTGGAATTATATAAAACAAAATAATAATGATGTTGTCCTTGACACCAATACATATTAAAACCAAGAATGCGAAAAATGTTTTCTCTGACTAGATTATAAAGATGTCTGCCTAACCTTGAATATTAGTAGAGGAGTATGATGAAATTATAACTGGCATTAGAAGTTTTCTACTGGAGAATTCAGCGGCAGCCGCTTCAGCCTAAATCACATAATTTTCATTATATGATGATTCACTGTCTTTGCCTCATGCAGTTTATGTGTGTAGGAACAGCTTGATCTAAGATGGAATTTAAAGAATTTGAGCCGCGGTTTAAATCTGCCAAAACCCGGTTTCAATTAAGCGCCGGCTTAAATCAAGAAACAATTGATACAATTTTAAGTGGAACCAACCATATTTAAGCCGCGGCTTAAATTTAAACCGCCGCTTAAATTCTTTAAATTCGGCCACTGGCTGCTTAAAACATTCGAACCGATACTTGAAATAAACCGAAGTTTACAAATTACGATGAGATATTAATCAATTTATGTGATTCAATCTTTTTTTTTATTTGCTAATCTTTTTCTTTAATTCTTTTAGTTTTCTTGATATCTATAGTTCTCTAGTTGTCTAGCATATATCCTCTCGTTTTATAGTTACTTGGTTTTCTAGTTTCCTAGTTCTCTATTTCCTTAGGTTTTCTAATTATTATCTGGTTTTTTTAGTTCTCAATTAATAAAATAGTTCTTTTTTACTCTATTTTTTTAGGTCTAAAATCCTCTAGTTTTCTAGCTATGAAGTATTCTAGTACTTTAGTTCTCTTGTACTCTAGTTCTCTAGTTCTCTAGTTCTCTAGTTCTCTAGTTCTCTAGTTCTCTAGTTCTCTAGTTCTCTAGTTCTCTAGTTCTTTAGTTATCTAGTTATCTTGTTCTCTAGTTCTCTAGTTCTCTAGGTCTCCAGGTCTCTAGTTCTTTAGTTCTCTAGTTCTCTAGTTCTCTAGGTCTCTAGGTCTCTAGCTCTCTAGTCCTCCAGTTCTCTAGTTCTCTAGTTCTCTAGTTCTCTAGTTCTCTAGTTCTCTAGTTCTCTAGTTCTCTAGGTCTCTAGGTCTCTAGGTCTCTAGCTCCCTAGTCCTCCAGTTCTCTAGTTCTCTAGTTCTCTAGTTCTCTAGTTCTCTAGTTCTCTAGTTCTCTAGTTCTCTAGTTCTCTAGTTCTCTAGTTCTCTAGTTCTCTAGTTCTCTTGTACTCTTGTTCTCTTAGTTCTCTAGTTTTCTATTCTCTAGTTCTCTAGTTCTCTAGTTCTCTAGTTCTCCAATTCTCTAGTTCTCAAGTTCTCTAGTTCTCTAGTTCTCTAGTTCTCTGGTTCTCTAGGTCTCTAGGTCTCTAGTTCTCTAGTTCTCTAGTTCTCTAGTTCTCTAGTTCTCCAATTCTCTAGTTCTCAAGTTCTCTAGTTCTCTAGTTCTCAAATTCTCTAGTTCTCTAGTTCTCTAGTTCTCTTGTACTCTTGTTCTCTTAGTTCTCTAGTTTTCTAGTCCTCTAGTTATCTAGTTCTCTAGTTCTCTAGTTCTCTAGTTCTCTAGTTCTCTAGTTCTCTTGTTCTCTTGTTCTCTATTTCTCTCATTCTCTAGTTCTCTAGCTCTCTAGTTCTCTAGTTCTCTAGTTCTCTAGTTCTCTAGTTCTCTAGTTCTCTAGTTCTCTAGTTCTCTAGTTCTCTCATTCTCTAGTTCTCTTGTTCTCTTGTTCTCTAGGTTTCTAGTTTTATAGTTCTTTAGTTCTCCAGGGACCGGATTTAATCAAATTGAGCTAGCTCGCTGAACTACTTAACGTCGGTTCAAATCTTGAATCGCCGATTAAAAGGTAAAGATTCATGAGAATTTGAACTGAGGATTCAAAACTGAACCGACGTGATAGGTGGTTGAGCGACCCCAGTTTATTGAATTTTGTCCCAGATTTTATTCTACATATTAAACCTGTGGGTTGTAGTTGGTTGGTCCTCTGAAGGAAGGTTGGAGTCTACGGTCAGCTCTATCTGCAGGAAGAGGTTTAATTACAGGTTGACGAGAATACTGAGTTTTGATAAAAGGTTTAGGTCTACGCTGGGGGGGATTCTCTTCTGCTTTATTAGTTCCAAACAGCCAACCAAACTGTTTTTTCTAAAAAAAAAAAATAATTATCTACTTATTTATGTTTTTATTGGATTTTCTGTAGAGAGTCAAGGCTAAGTATTTATATATTTGTAGCTTAAAATCATTATCTACAAGAGTTTGGGTTTTATTCTATGGCGGACCGAAATCTATATTATTGATAATAATAAAGATTTAAGATCTTCTGCCTTTAAATCTTTAATTTCAACTAAATATTGGGATACAAAGAAATAATATTTAAAGCAAACAAATTAGGATTGTTGAAATCTTGAAATTTCCTGCTTTCCTAAAACCATGAACCGGTTTTATTATCAACCATCGATATTGTTTAATTAAACCATGAACCGGTTTTATTATCAACCATCGATATTGTTTAATTAAACCATGAACCGGTTTTATTATCAACCATCGATATTGTTTAATTAAACCATGAACCGGTCCATCGATATTGTTTAATTAAACCATGAACCGGTTTTATTATCAACCATCGATATTGTTTAATTAAACCATGAACCGGTTTTATTATCAACCATCAATATTGTTTAATTAATATGTGCGCGCGTATAATGTAGAATTTTAGCGAGGTAAGATTTCTAATTTCAAATTTTTCTGAATAAATTTGTCTAAAATTACAAATATATTTCTAGAAAGTTGGTTTTGAATTATCATATTAGAATTGGTTGGCCTTTCATGCAGTTCGGTTTGACAATCAATAGAAAACATTTTTTACAAATTCTTTGGTGTACATTGTAAGCTGAAGGATTTGAGTCTTTGACACAAACTCAAATTGTCTAATCCCTATATCGTTGCAACCGGACACGGTGTAAAACTTTTATATTTCAAACTTAAAATATTTTATTTAACATTGGATTGCAAACATTTCGTCGATAACTCAACAGTCTTTAGACTTACAGATTTGTTTATTTATACTTTTTCATTGAAAATGTATATGCCAACAAAAAAGTATTTAAGATAAAAGGCTATATAATTATGTAAAAGGGGTCATATTGTTATCGAAAGTCACAGTTTTCTGAAATATTGACAGAACCGTTAAATCCACGTGCATTGGGTTGCAAACATTTAGGGATGAGAAAATTAGATAATTAATTAGAACAATATAAAAATATTTAAATCTCCATGTTTCTTGTCATTTATGGATTCATTGTTGCATTAATCTATTATAAAACATTTTTTTCTTTTTTAAATTTAAATTTTAAAAGTTGTAAACTAAAAAATGAATATTTAAGAAAAAAACCTTTCTTATACCTCTCTGTGTTCGGAAGCAGATATAGCCATAGGAAGTAATAATAAGAGCAAGAGCTTCATCTTGAAACCTTCAATCAAATATTTTAGTGAATTTTTAGTTAGACCAAATTGATGATGCTAAATGTGTTATATATGAGACTTCAGGCCGACTCCAAGAAATTTGTACTTCTGTTTTCTTGGAAATTTTGATTTTTTGTAAACTGTAAACTGTAAACTGTAAACTGTAAACTGTAAACTGTAAACTGTAAACTGTAAACTGTAAACTGTAAACTGTAAACTGTAAACTGTAAACTGTAAACTGTAAACTGTAAACTGTAAACTGTAAACTGTAAACTTGTTTCTTTCTTCGGAAAATTGTTTAATAAGTCATTAAAAGACTATATTCAAGACATAAGACGTAATCTAACCTTGGGATCGGCATGCTATATTTGCTACAGGTCGCCTTTACGGTTTTATCCTTTGTGGGTAACTCTGTAGGTGCCCCCCCCCCCGGCTATACAGGCCTCCTTTTCTTTTTGGATATACGGAGCGTCCCATAGCATCTTAGATTATCTCCAAGCTTTAACCCCAAAATACACAAATAATACTCGAAAAGCCAAAAATTTTCTGCAAGAAAACGTTTAAGGTAACCTTGTACATTTTTAAAAAAGGATTAATTTTTTTTAAATTTTCTTATTAGTCTTTCTAAAATCACAATTTTGAGCTATAAACGATCTAATTTGATGTGGGACACCCTGTATTATCGAGTTGATATTCATATTTAATTATACAGAAGCAAACAGTTCAAATCTCCAGATGATTAAGTTGATTCAAATCTGTTTTGAAGCATATAAATCGGAGAGCCCTTTTTTGTAAGAAACGTTAAAATTAGTAGGATCATTTTTTACAGTGAAATAGTAAAACTAATTTTAAAAACTTTTGAAAATTTATTTTCAAAGCCTTGTCGTCAAAATAATGAAAATGATCAATAAAATATTAAATACCTGATAGTAAAATATTCGGAAAGGATTGATGTGTATTATATATTTGTGTATAGTTTCTCTACTACTTCATCCTCGCGGTGATTTCACTCGACTAGCGTTAAACTCTCCAGTGTGACCCACTAAACCACGCAGGGGTGTTCTATATAACCTGTCAGGCGCTGGAATGTGCTCTAGACACCTTAAGGATATTCTATATTCTATATATTGGAAATCTCAATACAGAGATTAAACTTTCATCTTATATATCTAAATCATTAATCAGCGGAGAGTAAGATTGGTTTAGAGATATAGGATTAAATCTTGTTCTGGACCTGGGACATATATATTAAATGCAGCCCCCCCCCCCCTCACTTCCTTCGAACTGCAGCATACTATATATATAGGCAGTGTTGCCTGGAGAAATTAAGCTAAATCCTATGAAAGCTTTACAACTGGTCCAAACCTTCAGGTTTCTACTTTGATGAATGGAACTTACACAGCTTTATGATTAAATACAACATTTTAAAAATGATGTTAAACAAAATACTTTTTTTTCGGTTTCTTTTCAATTGAACTATTAAATTGCTTCTCAGTCTGGGGCTAATTTATTTGGAATCTGTTTCATTATATGATACGGATCAACTCAAAACTCCAAAAAAGCCTTAAAAAAGCTTGAATTATTCCAAAATACATTTTATTGCAGGAAACTTGGTAAATTTAGAAGACAAGTTAATTTAACTCCAGAAGTTTGATTTGATGACATAATGGATGAGATAATTCACACGCTATTGTAATTTCTAAGTAAATCATACTTAAATTAATAGTTTCACGATAGTATACCTTTTGACTTCATTTACAGTAACAGCAAGAAAAGAAAATCGACACTAAAAAATTAAATTTGTCTTAAGAAAATGAACTTGAAAACTTGTTTACTTGGTTGGAACTCAAAATGCTATAGTATCGAGTCTAAATTCAATTAAAATGATTTACTGGTCAAAGCTATTTGGATCAAGGTCTAATAGCAGCTTATTCTACAGACTGAGCTGCTATTTTTATTCAAATTATATGAATCCAAGGATCTATTTAATAAATTTGCGTGGTCGTTGAACTACTACTAAATCTTAAGCTATGAATCAGTGGTTTAAATTTGAACTGGCTGTAGGCAGTTCAGCGATGTAGCTCAAATATTGATTAGATTAGAATTTCCTTTCACTTCATTAGCACTGATTTTAGAATTCAACTCTAATTGGATTATGAGATAGATAGATAGATGTTACTTGCGTTGCAATTACAATTGGTTCTGAATCGTCACCAAGCACGTTCCCTCATCGGATCAGACGCTACCGAAGAGATGAAACATAAATGGAAAAGTACATTTATCTAAACATTAATTTTCGTGTTTTTTATATATTTATATAATCATGATTTGCAGCAAACATTATATAAAGTTTTAGCAACACTTCAAAACATTGAAATATATTTCAGGTTATCAATTGTTTCATGGCTAGATGGCCAATCTTTGGTAACTTTTTAATAAAATATGAAGTTTAAAACCTAACATATATATTAAGTGAAACAAGTTTTTCTTTGAAAATGTTTTACATCTCTAGTCTGTTTATATTTTGTTAAAAGATTAAAGAGATTGTTTGAAAACTTATCAAAATAATATTTTTGGTCAAAGGAATTGAGTCTGATCTAACTTTGCAATCCAATGACGTAGACATTTATAACTGTAAGTTTTGTTCTAGATCAAGGTTTAAAATATCAAAGGTTTACACATCAGGTTGTAAAGATATAAAGGTATTCGATAATTTAAGTTTAAATTTTATCTTATTTTGACCAAAGATAAGTTGTACATATCTAAGTAAAGGAAATCACTAAAATGACTATAAACTTTAAAGTTAGAAGAATGATCCATTGATAAAAGCTAAGGCAAGATAATTGTGTCAAAGCAAATATTGAACTTGAAAACGTTGGGTTCAAGTTTTTACTGTGGTTTTATTTGTTATTTGCTCTTCACATGGGTTAACAATTTGTTTAAGATCAATCAAGTAAAATAACTTAAACTTAACTGCTACCACCTGAGTTTGAATTTAATGAATTTGAGTCGCGTCTCAAATCCACCAAAACCGGTTTTAATTGAGCGCCGGCTTAAATCTTAAAACATTGAATACAATTTTTAATGGAACAAACCACATTTGAGCCGCGTCGCAAATTTAAACCGCGGCTCAAATTCTTTAAATTCGGCCTCAGGTTTCAATTACAGAGCTTGTTCCTCGATGTTCAGCGGTGTCATTTGTTCATCTCTAGTCCACCCACACCATAGTACATTTCAAAAATTTCGTTATGTTTTTTCAAGAATAAATTATTGTCAACGATTTTGCCCTTAGTTATCGATTTTATCTCTTTACAGCCGTTAGCTATAGTTTATTGTTAATGATTTTTTTAAGTTAACGATGCTCAGCTCTCTAATTCCAATACGCGAACAATTTCGGAGGTTTAATTCTCTCGGTATTCTCTGTAACCCATCTAGAGATCAATTCTTGTTTTATGCAGCAAAACTCTGACTGGACTGCTAGAGATCAATACTCTCACTGGACCGCTAGAGAATAGAGATAATACTCTCACCGGACCGCTAGAGATCAATACTCTCACTGGACCGCTAGAGATCAAATTTGTAACTGTGCCGCTTTAGAGATTAATTCTATCACTTGGCCGCTAGGGATTAATTTTCTCACTGGACCGCTAAAGATCAATTCTCTTACTTAACCGTTAGAGATTAAGAATTGATCTTATACTGCGCCGCAAGATATCAATTCTCTCAATGGGCCGCCAGAGATAAATTTTCTCACTGCACCATTAGAGATCAATTCTCTCACTGTACCGTTACAAATCTTTTCTCTTTTTAGCGCTAGAGATCAATTCTCTCACTGGACCGCTAGAGATCAATTATCTCAATGGGCCGCCAGAGATAAATTTTCTCACTGCACCATTAGAGATCAATTCTCAAACTGGACCGCTATAGATCAAATCTATCACTGGAACTTTAGAGATCAATTCACTAGACCAATACCAATTATTCTGTAGCATCTCTAGAGATCAATTCTCTCACTAGACCACTACCAATTATTCTGTAGCATCTCTAGAGATCAATTCTCTCACTGGATAGCTAGAGATCAAATCTATAACTGGGCTGTTAGAGATAAATTTTCTCATTCTATCGTGAGTGATCAATTCTATCACTGCAACGCAAGAGATAAATTCTATCATTGTGCTGCTAAAGATTATATTTTTTTTTACTAGATATTAGGGTTGCTAAAAAGATCAATTTTCCAAGAGGACTGCATAGGATGGTTCAATTATGTCAGTGCGCCGCTAAAATTCAATTATTCAATTCTCCAACTGAGCCACACTAGAGTTTGATTTTTTCATTGCACAGTGCACTGCTTGAGTATGTTAGTTTCCAGCCGCTGTAGCTCGGAATTCTTCCAAGCTTATCTTCTTGTCCCCAGCCTAAATAGAAATAAAAATGAATTATAAAGTTTTAACTTTATTTAGAAAGACATGGTAGCAGGGACAGCTTGCAATATTTTTCGAAATGGAGTGGGGGGGAGGGAGATTTAACATTGAGGGGGAAGCGTTGCCAATAATTTCATTCCTTTCCACTGGAACTTTTTGTAGAGATTTTGGTATTTTTTTTTGTCAAAATCCTGACACGACTGAGAAATGACGGTGTGGTTCTGCTAAATAAAAATCCACAAGGAATGGTACTGATTACTCGCTTCTAACATAATTTTCTAATTCGGATTATGTTCTGAAGGAAAGTAATCAGTTTCTGTTAATAAAAGAAGTGGCCGCTATATATTTAATAAAAAAAAACTCCATTATACTTAGTTGCAAAAATACTGCAAGTGAAAAAATTGAGTCTTTGCCACAAACTCAAATTTTTAATTCCTATAATAAATAATAAATAATGTGAAAGATATTGCGCAAGTCTCTTCTGTAGATAAATCACAATTTAACTAGAAGGTTTTCAAAACTATTTAACAATAATATCTAATTCATACTTGATCCGACAACGCTTTTAAGGGTAAGCTGTTGTAATTCGCAAATTGCTATCTTTGCATAAAGGGTCACTTGAAATTACATTCCCTTTAATGCGGGGTTTTGAAGGAACAAAATGCTGTAAGATAATAATCTCGGGTTGAAATTGCGAACAATATAAATGCAAAGAATAAACTGAATATCAATGTTTTCCTCAAATATTCCTAAAAATGCATCAATTTTTAGATTAAATATCTTTTAGAACTCTGCATTGGTTTATATCTTCAGTAGAATAATCAGAAAATGTATATAACATGAAAGTTAAACCCAAGGACAGGACGGTGGTCCGGAGGGGGGTTTTAAGGGGACTGTGCACCTACTTAAAAATACACAAAAACGTTTTTTTAAGCCTTAAGTCTTATACTGCCAACATATGTTCCTTAGAACTAGAATCACCAGAATGACCCGATACCATCTATCAAGATAACCATAAGATTTTTGTAAAATAATTTTCGAGGATTTTATGACAATCTATCATACACTGTCCAAACAAAATGTTTCAAAATATTACGAGATCTTCTCTTTTACAAACAGGAAAAATTTCTGAAATCGATAAAATTTCAAGTAACTTAATATCAAGGTACTCTCCAATTGTAAAGTGGGATATCAGATTCTCATCGGTATTCTTTAAACATTTGACTGATCAAGTTATCGATGAAATAATAGACTAAATGGCGCCATGTTTCCAGGTCAACGACGACCTACCATTATTTAAATTTATTTAGTAAGAAATTATCATGTTTACTGGGACTAACTGTATTCTAAAAAAATAAACGTTTCTGTGTATTTAAAAAAGAAAGAGCCGGGTATGTTTGGTTAAGTGGACATTTTCCCCTGCTGTTATTTTACAAGATTTACAGCAGTAGTTTTGTTTACATTTTATATTTTCTACTTGTTTTATAACCTTTCACCAACACTATACAATATAAAGTACGAGTAAAAATACAAAACTGTGAAATATGACAATTAAGACATTTTTTTATATTCGATTATTTGCTGAAGTGAAAAAGCAAATGGCTTCACCAATTGCATTTAAATAAAAATAATTAGTGAAATATGTCCTTAAGACACTTCAAAATTGCTGTTTTTATGCTCACTGAACTGTCAAAAAGCCAAACCAGGGGTGTATATTATTTAGAATGAAATTATTTTTCTATGATTTGGGGCAAAAAATTAGAAATTTGACATCAAAGGCAACGCTTTTCATTCTTTTTGAAACTTTTTAATTAAAAATGTTGTTATTTTCCTCAAGTCAGCAACTGAAACCACCAAAATAAATTTCGGGTCACACAAGTGTTTATAACCTCTGGGGGAAAAAATATTTTCAAAATGGGGAAATTGAATTTTTGAGAAAATATACACCCCTGAACCAAATTTGAGGTTAACTGTCGTCTTCCTATTCAACACTTTTATCGGTCCCACTGTTAGATAAATAAGACTACAAGACAACTGGGTTGCCTTATAAAAGTGAACTATATATATATATATATATATATATATATATATATATATATATATATATATATATATATATATATATATATATATATGCTTTTGAATAGATAATTTAACTTTTGCCGAAAATGTTAGAAAAAAAATAATCTTTGAGATTTTTATGGACAAATTTTTCAGATGTCAAAAGCATTTAAATAATTAGGAATTAATATATTCTACCTTGTCACATTTATCAAATATCCTTCTTGCTTGTTCCTCATCCATATTCTTGGTCACCTACAAACCCATCATTAAATATAAATGCAAATGTTCACAAAACCAAATATAGGAATGGGGGGGGGGGGGGTGTCACTCCTTTATTTTTGGAATATTTTTGCATGAAGAGATCAGTATCAGATCAAGTATCAAATAAGTATTATATATTTTAAACCATCAATTTTTTTACACCATAAGGTTGCAAAGATCAAAAACGAATAAAATAAATGGAAAGTGCGGAAAGACATAAATATACTTTTTTGCTTTATTAAAATAGATTCTTTGGGTTTTTTTTAATCGAACCTTCATTTTAAAATCTCAAGAAAATTTAACTCTAAACTGAAAGCGTGACCAATATCCTATTTTCATATTTCATCATAGGAAATGTGAGCTTTCTCCTTTGAATTTACAGATAAGTAATTTTAGTAAAGGTTGAATAATAAAACAAAGTTCAATAATAAGTTGATTTATAATAACTTTGATATCTAGTATCAAATTAAATCAAAATAATTTAATGAGTTTTCGACTAAATATTAATCTAATTCAAAATGAGAAGTGCACCAAATTAAAAGTTTTGAATGTATTAAAAATATAAAATCTTATACAAATGGAGTCTATTTGGAGTACTTTTTAAAGGCTTATACAAATGGAGTCTATTTGGAGTACTTTTTTAAGGCTTCTACAAATGGAGTCTATTTGGAGTACTTCTCTATAATAATCCAGGCAAATTCATGGACACTGTGTGTATCTAAATCCAGCAAAGGAGTCAAATTCACGAGATTTTGTCCATATAAGCTGATATAAGCACACATATGACCAGTGCTTAGGATCCGGATCCAAGAGGCAAAATATCAACCAAAAACGGATCCGGATTTAGATCCCGATCCATTCAGGATGGATCCAGGATCCAGATCTGAATCCACATCAAAATAAGATGGATCCTAAAAGCACTGCATATGACACTATAATCTAGTTATAGTCATATATGAATAATTATTGCCTAAGTTAAATGTGGACACTTTTGGCTACTTTATCCCGAATGTGATATATAACAATATGTATATCAGAGTTTTTGACAATTATTTAATTAAAATAGTATTTTTAATTAGTAGAGTTTAAAGTTTAATCAATGTCAGGAAAATACAAGGTTAATGGTTTTTAAAATAGATTCGAAAAGAGATTGTTTGCATTAAATCCATTTGTAGAAAGCATCTGGCAGTTAATATTTATTATTATTTATTTTTACCTTTCTAAACTCATCCCAGTCTAGGAATCCATCTCCATCTGCGTCAAAGTTTCTAAAAAGAAAAGCTTACAGAGCTGGGAATTTTTGTGTTGTGTAGCTTAATCTCGCAATCCACTCTGGGCACTTATAACTTGAGGATCTATAAACAAATAAACTTGTCCATATTTTCTTTTTAGTTATTCCTCCATGAGCAAGGCTCCCTGCAACTCCTGTCTGTGCAAGATTACCAAGGATATCGAATAAAGACTAAATCAATCTGAAGATTAAAACAAAATATCCAGATCTAGCATTGATCTTGATATCTACAAAACAAAGCTAAGAAAAGCTAAGCAGACATTGCACGGATGAATATTTGAATATTTTTCTTTATTTTACTTTAAAGTTTTCTTAAACTCTGGAGTAACTGTAACGACTATTTTTGACAGTTTTGTTATTTTTGTAATTTTTTATTTCTGGATTATTGTAAGTTTTTTATGGTTCTACTTTATCTTTCAACTACTTCAGGAACCCAGCTTTGCCTGTCAACAATTTCAATTTTGAAATTTCATATTAAGCTAATGACATTCCCCAACGTCTACCGAGTTCCCAAGTTAAAATTAGAGGCAAATCGGCCAAGGGGTTTATTTTACATACATATTTTTTTGCCTTGTATTTTGCCCATATTAATTTCATTATTTAATATTATAATACAATACAATTTAATATTATAATACATTATAATAAATTTCTGAGGGTTTTATTAGAACAATGTAAATCTTACATTTTCTGCGATCACTGATGTCTTATAAGATTTAATCTCAATTGTAATATTTTGCCACATCGGATAACCACGAGTTGAGCAATCAATTGAGCATAATATGGTATTCCTACGAATGTACGTTTGCATAATTTCTTTGAGAGGTTGAAATAGTTCAAATTGTTTCATAAAAATCCAATTTAATTTCAACTGAAGGCTCTGGAATATTGTAGTTAGGTGTAGCAACCTATCTTTAATCTTTCTATATATAATATATTCACTCAATTCAGTATTTACTGTCAGTAATCTTCATAAACTCTCATAAACCATTTATAGGATACATAATATAGCAGACAGGATACAGGATACTTGATACAGGATGCATGATTTAGGGTACAGAATACAGGATTTAGGATACAGGATGCATGATACACAGGATATAGGACACATGATGCATAGGATACAGGATACAGGATAGAGGTTACAAGATATTAAGTATACAAGATATATATGATACAGGATAAAGGATACAGGATAAATAAAAAGGATATAGGCCGGATACAGGATTAATAACCGGATATGTTTTCTTATCTGAAATTTCTGTTCTGATGTTTTCACCTGAACGCAACTTCTATTCTATCCATCTCCTTCTCCTGATCCTCCCCGTCCTCCTCCGGCTCCACCCCCTTCCCCATGCAGGAGCACAAACCTCCTCTGCTTGTCTCCTGGCACACAGATTAGTTTAAGGTTGTCCAGGTTGGAGGGAAAAAAAATATTCACCATTTTGTTTCAGCGGACTTAGACGTTTTTGGACCCATTATAATCTATACTGTTTTTGGACCAATCATATAATTTATACTGTTTTTGGACCCATTATAATCTATACTGTTTTTGGACCAATCATATAATCTATACTGTTTTTGGACCAACAATCATATAATCTATACTGTTTTTGGACCAATCATATAATCTATACTGTTTTTGGACCAATCATATAATCTATACTGTTTTTGGACCAATCATATAATCTATACTGTTTTTGGACCAATCATATAATTTATACTGTTTTTGGGCCCATTATAATCTATACTGTTTTTGGACCCATTATAATCTATACTGTTTTTGGACCCATTATAATCTATACTGTTTTTGGACCAATCATATAATCTATACTGTTCTATTCTAAATCCTTTATTTGATGATTATTTGATATTTCAAACTTTGAATCCTTGATTTAACATCAACATTAGGTTTCAAAGATAAAAGTATTTGACTGAAGAAAAAAATAAACCTTTTTCGGTCTGGATTTTGCAGATTTTATCCTTCTCTGTAAATTCTCAGATTTCTGTTTACTAGCTTCCTCTTCATCTCTCCTGTAAGAATATGGATAAGCTGGAATAAAATGTTTTTTTTTTAATTGATTATAAAAGAACTGAGTTTGTGCCGCAAACTCAAACTACAGGGTGTCCCAATAAACATGGGAATTCAGTGACAAATTCAATATCGTCTTTTTAGATAATTCTTTGATTTAGTATAGTGATACCTACTGAGAAAGCTGTAATCTGTAAGAGTTTCGTCTGCTATGTTCACATTTTGTTTGTTTATGTTTTGACTGCATACGGTTGTACTTAGTAAAACAATTAAATTGCAGTATACAAACAGAGTAAACTTGTCCGTCTTCACTGTACATCTTGCGGAGACATTATAGACACATCTTTATAGTGTTTTACCCTTTTCATAAAATAAAATCTAGCAGACGTAATAATATTATGGCTTTAGAGATTAGGTATTAAAATGTTAGTTCATAACAAAGACGATATCCAATTCGTCACTGAATTCCCATGTTTTTTGGGACACCCTGTATCTTAACTTTTGATATTTTAAACTTGGATTATTTGATCTAACATAATTTACTATTTGATCTAACAGAATTTACTATTTGATCTAACATAATTTACTATATAAATAATCAAAGGTCTACGACATCAGGTGGAAAAGATAAAGGCATCAGAAAATTTAAGTTTGTCGCAAAATCTCATTTTCTTTGAATTCACGTTCAATTTTTGTCCATTTTACCTGGTTGTATCTCTGTTTGATAAATCCATCAGTTTGGTTTCCAAACCAAACTAAACGTTTTCAAGTTAACTATTTCATCTGAATTGAATTTAAAAAAACTGGGCTTCCCGGGCACCCCTTTTTATATGAATTGGTGCTTTATTTGCGATAAGAATTTCTCTGAAATGTTTGAGTTTCTTTTTTTGTGGATTTTGAACAATTTCCAAAGAAACTTGGGCTGAATCTGATCAGATGTATTTACACGTTACTTTGTTTATTTCAAGATATATACACAGAAATAAAATTCTAAGAATGTTATTAATTTTTTCAACAAAAACAGACAGTTCGCATTCTGAGTCCTTTAAAGTCTATTGAAACTTTTCCGTTAATATATAATTTTAAATATTTATTTCCATTTATAAATAACTGAGCATTCTCAAATACTATTTTATAAATATTAAAACACGAAATTATAAAACCATTATCATTTTACAGTTGCTACTATGCACATAATATGTCAATGTTAAATTTGAAGCAGTTGCATTATATGTTTAGTAAAGTTTGAACCAGTAGCATTATATGTTTAATAAAGTTTTAACCAGTAGCATTATGTGTTAAGTAACGTTTGAACCAGTAGCATTATATGTTTAATAAAGTTTGAACTAGTAGCATCATATGTTTGGTAAAGTTTGAACCAGTAGCATTATATGTTTAGTAAAGTTTGAACCAGTAGCATTATATGTTCAGTAAAGTTTGAACCAGTAGCATTATATGTTTAGTAAAGTTTGAACCAGTACCATTATATGTTTAATAAAGTTTGAACCAGTAGCATCATATGTTTAGTAAAGTTTGAACCAGTAGCATTATATTTTTAGTAAAGTTTGAACCTGTAGCATTACTTGTTTAGTAAAGTTTGAACCTGTAGCATTATATGTTTAGTAAAGTTTGAACCAGTAGCATTAAATGTTTAGTAAAGTTTGAACCAGTAGCATTACATGTTTAGTAAAGTTTGAACCAGTAGCATTATATGTTTAGTAAAGTTTGAACCAGTAGCATTATATGTTTAGTAAAGTTTGAACCAGTAGCATTATATATTTTTCATGTCCTAGTATGAGGAGGAGAGAAACCCAAACCTTTGCTATAATTATAAATAAAACAATGTTATTCTTATAGTGTTTTTTTAAAGAGGGGAAACAAGGAAACTTTATGATTAAGAATTGATCTCCAGTTGAAATCAATATTAATTTTTACATTTAAACAAAAAACCTGAAGTTCTCATTATAAAATACTATTCATAGCAGAATATAAAATATAGAACTAAATTACTGATAAAATATCTGTACTTAGAACCTGCACTGAAAGATCTTTCTTATTTTTTTACCATATTTACTCTAAAAGGAAATACTATTATATATAAAACATTCTAGAATACCTATGTTTAAAATTAATCCATTGTATCTTTTGGCAACTTATTCAGAATCAGCCTGTTTATAAAAAATCTGACGAATTTTTAATACAGGGTCGACTTTACCGCTCTAATTCACTTAGCTTTCCAGCAGTTCTTTACATGAACTTTTTAGCACTATAAAGCACTTGTTGTCAGCGTTGGTTTTGAAGAAGTAATTGGCAAAATACAGGGTCGACTTTACCGCTCTAATTCACTTAGCTTTCCAGCAGTTCTTTACATGAACTTTTTAGCACTATAAAGAACTTATTGTTAGCGTTGGTTTTGAAGAAGTAATTGGCAAAATTCTTAAATATTTTTGCTTAAGAGCGTGAGACCTTTAAATCACAGTTATGAGAAAAAACTGGGAAGAGACAAAAGATGGTAAATCTTCATGGAGATTTTAATGGGATCAGTTTGAGCCAAAAAAGAAAATATAAAGGGTCTTTGAATAGCTTAAACTAGTCCCCTTGGATAGTATTCGTAAAATATCCAAAGAAGAAAAGAGTATATTTTAGCTTTATTGCTTTAGTTAATATATATGTGGCTGTGTAATGTGAATATATATATATATATATATATATTATGGATTGTGTTTATTGCCTGTCATAAAACCGAGAAAGGTGGCTCAAGGTTTGATGTAAATCCTAGAGTATAAAATCAAACTTTATCTTCCTTTACCTGGATCCTAGGATCATTCTATACTTCCATTAAGGGACTGTACGGGAATTTTCGAGTCAACTTTCCTGTCGAGAAAAATTTGAACAACAGCGAGTAAATTAAATTGAAATCTTAAATTTGAACAATAGCCGCTAAATTAAATTGAAATCTTAAATTTGAACAACAGCCGCTAAATTAAATTGAAATCTTCTATGTTTACAATTATAACTCCTCTTAATGAGAAGAACAAAAATAATTTAATTTTTTACTTATATGTAGATAACTGCAAGTTCAATGCTTTTCTCATATTAATGAATTAAATCAAAACTAGAGGAGCTTCGAGGTCAAATAATTGCACCAGTAATATTCCACAGATTTGACCTGTAATTGACTGGCTAAATAATATTTTATTTCTCTCCCGATATTTCAGTTTGAGACCTTGATCACAATAAAAACATGTTTAAACTTCGATTGTAATAAAATAAACACCCCTGGAAAGTCCTTTTTATGAATAAAAACCATTCTTCATTTGAACCAACGATTTTGTTGAAAACATTTCCTGAATAAATTTATCTTTTGTAATGTTCCCGTTGGCATCCAGCAACTTCTTGGCGGAATTCTCCTCAAAATCGACCTCAAATATACAGGAACGATAATAATAATGATAATAATTTGTTTACTTGTTTACTTGTTTACTTGTTTACTTGTTTACTTGTTTACTTCTTTACTTTGTTTACTTGTTTACTACACAAAAAATTTGAAAAAAGATTTCCTAAAAAAAATTCAAAAAATGGTTGCACTTTGTAGATAATATTAATTTCAATCTAAAATGAGTATTTATAGTTAAGTAGCAAATTATAGAAATTTCACAATTATTAGATAATATCAAATTCAATGTTAACTGGGAAGTTTTAATAAGAAAATATCATTTTCACTTTATACAGTGCTCCCCAAAAAAAATGGTAAATGAAGACAATTTCTCATAAATATACAGAGCTCCCCAAAAAAAATGGTAAATGAAGACAACTTCTCATAAATATACAGTGCTCCCCAAAATAAAATCAGTCTCCCCCTAACCCTGCTTTCAGTCTCCCCCTAACCCTGCTAGCAACAACACATCTCTGTGACTCTCTGTCTCCTAGCCAGATACCAGCTGACCCAGCTAGCTGTTGCTATGGCTTTTTGCCCCTGAATTCTTTGTTTTGATCGCCTCCCACTGCAGTACACAAATTTGACGCATTAGATATGGCGGTTCCTGGTCTATATATTTCTTGACTTGTCCTGGCAGGTTACTTATATATCATAATTGTTATTAGTAATACAGTTTTTTTTTGTTATTGGAGGAAGGCTGTTTTAAGAATTATTTCTTTTGTAAAGAAATATGTCTGCATTGCCGGTTACACTGATGCACAATAACAAATAAATATGGAAGAAATCAACTCAAAGATTTATTGATTTACCAATACATTGTATTGTATGCAAACATATATATTATATTTGTTTGTATTCATTTAGTTTATAAAACCAAACTCGCAAACAAATCAATTATCAAAAGAAAGTTTATATATATTGATATTCTGAAATTTCTAGCACTGAAAAACATAACAAAAATTTGTTCAAAATGATTATTATTTAGTTTTTATCATTTTTTTTGCCATTCAAAACCCCCGAGTGAAAATTTTAGGTTAAGTACATTCTATGTTTAAAAAATGGAAGTTTGGGACACTGTTTTTTTGCGTAAATATAAAAAAGCTAGTATACCAAAAAATATGATTGATATGAGATGTTTGCTTCTGCTCTTCTATATTTCCTGCCTACTTCTTGTTTTCTTGTTTAATATTTTCTATATTTCCTGCCCACTTCTTCTTTAATATTTTCTATATTTCCTGCCCACTTCTTGTTTAATAGTTTCTATATTTCCTGCCCACTTCATGTTTAATATTTTCTATATTTTCTGCCCACTTCTTGTTCAATATTTTCTATGTTTCCTGCCCACTTCTTGTTTAATATTTTCTATATTTCCTGCCCACTTCTTGTTTAATATTCACTATATTTTCTACCCCCTTCTTGTTTTATATTCACTATATTTTCTACCCCCTTCTTGTTTAATATTCACTATATTTTTCTTGCCACCTTCTTGTTTAATATTTACTATATTTCCTGCCATCTTCTTGTTTAATATTTACTATATTTCCTGCCATCTTCTTGTTTAATATTTACTATATTTTATGCCCCTTCTTGTCTAATATTTAATATATTTCCTGTCCCCTTCTTGTTTAATATTCACTATATTTCCTGCCACCTTCTTATTTAATATTCACTATATTTCCTGTCACCTTCTTATTTAATATTTACTATATTTCCTGCCACCTTCTTGTTTAATATTCACTATATTTCCTGCCCCCTTCTTCTTTAATATTTACTATATTTTTCTGCCACCTTCTTGTTAAATAATGTTTTCCTAGCTAATTTAGTTTCCCTATTTACTTATCGTGTTTATGCCTGCCAACCCTGACTATAATTAAACCCAAGAATATATTTTATGAATATATAACAGGGGAATTCGGCCTTAATACCAGTCCGCTAAACTTTAGTAAGGTGACAAAGAAACATGTTATGTTAAAACCACAGTTTGTCAGGCAGATAAATCCACAGTTTTTCAAACCTTTTTTAATAGATTTCCTTTATGTCGTTTGATCGGAGTTTTGATGAGTTATAATTCCTATAAGATAGAGATTGGAACTTTTTGTGTGGATATTGTTGATCTTGAACGCTTAATCTCGATATCCAATGTGGGCACAATTTTTGAGAATGAATGCTTGATCCCTCAATTAAAGTTGTCCCTGCATGAGGGTATAACAATCAAGGGATCTCGAAGAGAAATCAAATTAATCCGTAGCAGGGGCGTATTCAGGAATTTGTCCAGGGGGGGCTTAAATTTTTTTCTCTTTTCAAGGGGGGGGGGGGCTCAGGACCCGTTGGGGCCTGAAAACCCCTCTAAAATCAATAGATTTCACTGGTCCTGGGGGGGCTTAGCCCCCATAGACCCCCCCTGAATATGCCTCTGATCCGCAGGTCTGTCTATAACCTAGATGAACTCGAGATGAATACTTAATCCCGAGATTCAAAACATAAAGGTTTTAACTTTAGATGTAAAATCCTCTGTACTTGAGTACAGCTGAGGTAAGTTTGTTTGTACTTTAGAGGTTTATTCCTGTTCAACGAAGGAAAAGTTTTATAAAGGTTTCAATGGTCTTGAGTTCATTATTCAGTTAAATATGTGTCCATGGTTAGGAATATTGTACTGTAATTTTAGCTCTGGAGTATAGAAAGAGAATTATTTTAATCTAATAAATTCTTCGAGTTTTATTGAAAACTATATTAGAAGAAAACTAAAATGTACCGGCCGTTAGAAATCTGTTTGTCTTTATGTTATGTTTAAACTTTGTTTCTAATTCTTCTATAAAAGATATCAGAAAGTATATTAAGATCCCGGTCCTTTCTTCGCGAGTTATAAGCTTATTCATGCTTTTAGAATTACGTAGGTTAAATAATTGATTTATTCTGCAGCTTTGCCTTTGGTCTTCCGATATTACTTTGCTATTGATCGAGCATACGCTTTAAATTCTCAAAGTTGAATTGAGTTTTGAATATAAAGTCTATGTAAGAACTTTCTTTTACAAACTTTAAAAACTCCACTTAGAATATATCTATGTAGCATCTAATCTTAAATGATGTAAAATCGAAGACATTCATTTATTAAAAAAATATAAATATAGTTTTTACGATTTGTTGGTTGAAACTTCTGAAAATTTGGCATTCATACCGTCATACGGCAATATTTCTCGATGTTTGGTTATACCTTCCATATCCATACCGTCATACGGCAATATTTCTCAATGTTTGGTTCAACCTTCAATATCCATACCGTCATACGGCAACATTTCTCAATGTTTGGTTCAACCTTCCATATCCATACCGACATACGGCAATATTTCTAGATGTTTGGTTCAACCTTCCATATCCATACCATCATACGGCAATATTTCTAGATGTTTGGTTCAACCTTCCATATCCATACCATCATACGGCAATATTTCTCGATGTTTGGTTCAACCTTCCATATCCATATCATCATATGGCAATATTTCTCGATGTTTGGTTCAACCTTCCACATCCATACCATCATACGGCAATATTTCTCAATGTTTGGTTCAACCTTCAATATCCATACCGTCATACGGCAATATTTCTCGATGTTTGGTTATACCTTCCATATCCATACCGTCATATGGCAATATTTCTCGATGTTTGGTTCAACCTTCCATATCCATACCGTCATATACGGCAATATTTCTCGATGTTTGTTCAACCTCTCATATCCATACCGTCATATACGGCAATATTTCTCGATGTTTGGTTCAACCTTCCATATCCATACCGTCATACGGCAATATTTCTCGATGTTTGGTTCAACCTTAAATATCCATACCGTCATACGGCAATATTTCTCGATGTTTGGTTATACCTTCCACATCCATACCGACATACGGCAATATTTCTCGATGTTTGGTTATACCTTCCACATCCATACCGACATACGGCAATATTTCTCGATGTTTGGTTATACCTTCCATATCCATACCGTCATATTCGGTAATATTTCTCGATGTTTGGTTCAACCTTCCATATCCATACCGTCATATACGGCAATATTTCCCGATGTTTGGTTCAACCTTCCATATCCATACCGTCATACGGCAATATTTCTCGATGTTTGGTTAAACCTTCCATATCCATACCGACATACGGCAATATTTCTCGATGTTTGGTTATACCTTCCATATCCATACCGTCATACGGCAATATTTCTCGATGTTTGGTTATACCTTCCACCAACTACAGTGATAACCAGTGTCTTGAAAAACAACATCAAATACACCTAATTATTGCGATAATGTCGTCTACCTACTTGTCTGGTTCTCACTGTATAAGATTGAACCGAGTTGTCTAAAACCCCCAAACGATCCCCTGTCTCAACTCATAAAGATTTATTGTTCGTACAAGACTATGAAACATTTTGCAATAATTTGACAGAAGAAAATATGCTTTAAGGTCTAGTAAAGAAAGGGCATGAAAGGCTTATAGTGCACTGCATAATATTCATTCACTGTATTTTTTCTAATCTAGAACTATGACGCGAGAACCACAAAACTATGGAATAGGAAGACTGCATAAATCAATACTATATATTAGTGTATTTTACAAACCAAATAGTTTTACTTGTAACTTATTAAATGTACTGTACTGCACAATTGCAGTGTTTAATGTTTATTGGAGTTTTGGTCTGAAAGTCATCTTTATAGACCCGGCGTCCTTTCTTATTTTCTTTGTAAGCCATTAACAGCACCAATCAAAGAAAAAAGACCTCTTTAAATTTTGTTATGATTAGAATAAATAGAAAAAATGTTTCTAAGTATTACATTGGCAAATGGAACTAAAAAAGATGATTTGAAATAACAAAACGTTAGATGAGTATAAATTCAGCCAGACAAAGGACTTGAATTTTTGCAAAAAGCTATAATTTTCTATTCTTTGCAACCTGATGGTGTAAGCCTTAGATATTTCAAACTAATATTATTTGATAAAGCAGAATTCTTAGCCTAAAATATCTAAAGTCTGCTCTTTTGGGTTACAAAGAGATATTGAGATTAGACAATCAGAGTTTGTTGCAAGACTTAATTTCTTTATAAACTGAATTCAAATTTCATGGTTTCTGGGACCAACTGTAAAATATTGACTTTGAAGAAAATTGCTTGAGGGTGTTATTAACATTTTTGTGTTATTGACATAAAAACAGATTGGGCGATTTTTCAAAGCTATGCATGAATCATATAAAAACAAATATAGAAATAATAATATCATACTTGCAGTCTATGCATGTTTTAAAGTAAAAGAAAGTACAAAATACAAATACAAAATGTTTTAAATCTTTGTGAAGAAACAATCTCAAGAACTGACGAGGGTCAACCCAGACCGAAATATATTTTCAATAAATGTGGAACTAACATCTACTTTTTTACTCTACAGAGGTTTGGTCCATCACCATCACTGAATTTTAAAAATACAAGCCTTTTATACCTATATCATTGAAAAGAAGTTATTAAAATTCATTATAAAATCTTGAAGGTTTATGAAAATTCTTTCAGCTAGGGTCGCTTGTTGGAGGTTTTTTTAAATTTTAATTGTGAAAGAGGAAAGGTAATATTAATAATGAAATAATCGATTCTACTATTCTCTATGGTTTACATCGATAGTTTCATTTCAGAAATAAGTTCCTAGCAAATTAATCTGTAAAATATTTTTTTACATGTTTTGTCCGGGTTATTAAATAATTGTAAAAAACTTTCTTCCGCTGGCTGAAACAACTGGTGAAATATTATTAATGACTTTACGCACTTATTTAAAAATTGTACATCGTATAAATGTCTCATTGATATCAAATGAATCCTAAAGTTCTTCTCTACAATACTGCAGTTTCAGCTCAAATACCATGCATAGTCGGTCAAGATATATGGATTAGAACATTTGATTCAATTTCTTTATAAAACTGTACAATAAAAAATTTCTTTTTAAGGGTCGTAAACATTCTGAACTTTTTTAATTCACATTCAAAATGACTTAAAGATACATCTTAAGTATCGTAATGGAATCGAGTATCGGAAACCCGATTTCAAGAATGGGGGACAGGCAGTTTTTTTACATAATTTTTTCAAGCGTTTACATTTCCTTTTTGTTTTCAGATTTCTTAAATAAAAATCCACGCAAATTTATAAACCCAAAAAAGGAAACTCCGGAGTTTCGTTCGAAGATACTCTCTTAAATTTCCGGCATTGTTTTTTAACCTCAATACTTATCTGTAGAATTGTAACAAAAAATTAAAAATACTGCATTCTGGTTTTGTGCGAGGCAAGAAGTGTGTTACAAACCATTGAAGTCTAGAGCTAACATGAATGGATGGAATATAACGGTTTCGGAGCAGAAGGTCCTATTTTTTGCCAAGTTTACCCGATTTTTTGAGATTTCATGGACATTGCCCGGTTACGTAGACATTTATAGATGAAATTAAGGGAAGAATAAACATCTACGAGGATAATAAGAAGAAGATGAATCCCACTGCAGTAGAATTATGTAATGAATATAATTAAGTTTGGTCTCATAGTTTTAGGATAAATTATATCAATTCTTTGTTTCTAGTCTAAGTTCCAAAAAACATAAGAACTTGCCTTAAACTCAAATGTTTTAAACTTTTCAACCTGATGGTGAAAACGTTTGAAATTTAAAACCATAACTGTAGGCTTCAATGGTGTAGGGATTATAAAAAAGATGGTTAGGTAAGCAATCAGATCAGAGGCGTATTCAGGGGGGGGGGTAAAATCCTATCTCGGACAGACCATACAAAACAATGCAATGCTTTGAGTTATGACAAAGTTTTGAATCTAAAAAGAACTAGTATTCTCACATTTCTTTGATTTAAAATGTCAAATTTTTTCCCAGCTATTTGGTAACAAATAGCTGGAAATACGAGGTGTAATATTATAATTTCGTCAAAACATCTAACAGGATTCGGAAAGTTTTGTCTAGGAATTGGTTTGGCCACAGGGTTAGTTTTGTTTAAAAAAATTAAACTATGTGCCGTCAGTAGTATCTCAGATTAACTCAGATTAAATAAACCCAAATTCTAAGCTTAAAAAATAATCAATCTTACCATTTATATATAATATGTTTATATATATTTATATTCATATAAATATATATGTATGTATATATAATATTTACATGTATAAAGTAATGTCTCCTACCTTATATATTCTATATATTTCCGCCATTTTATCAAGCTTAATATATCCTTTCTGCTCTTTATCCATATCCTAAAAAAAAGCTAAAAAGTATTATTTTTAATTTTACATTGAAAGTTTAATTTTTGATAATCGTAAATTGATCTATTGTTGGTGTCTGAGAGCGTATAGTAATGTAATAAGCATTGTAAAAATGTAATACAAAAGAAACATAAAGAATTGTTAGGGCTGTCAGAAGATACTTTGTTGTTAGAAACATAATGTTAAAACAGATACAGTGTGTTCTATTTCTCGACAATACTTCAAGATATATAGTTTCAACTCAAAATATAAATTTACAGAGTGAGTAAAAAAATGGGATTAGCGGCGCCTGGTGGAAAATTGTACCATTTTTGTGCAACTCTCCTTTATGTTGTTTTTTTTTCTCAAAATTTTTGAAAATTTTAAATTTTTTGGTACTCTCTGGCCGAAAAAAAAATCCACGAACCCTTTTTTTCACTCACATCGAATCACAGAATCACAGAAAATTCGCAAAATTAAAATGAGAAAATTTGCAATTTTCAGTAGTTCTAGCCTAATTTTTAAGGAAAAGTTGTTTTTCAATGGCTCAATGTTTCAACTGAACAGCATATATTTAAAACTTTAGAATATGCTAAAAAGAAAAGAACTAGAAAATTTAAATGAATTATTCTTAAAAATTAGACCCGAACTGAAAATTGCGAATTTTACAATGTTATAAATATTTTTGAAAGAAACCATATTTTACACTAGCAATAACTGGGTTAGGATGGGAGGGGGGGGGGGATTTGGAATGAGTAGCTTTCCATTTATTTTATTACTTTATTTTAGCTAAAAACAAATGAAGTTCGTCAATTGAGGAAAATAGGCAAAAATAGGTTAACAGCAGTAAAGTATCTAATATTTAAAAATATCAAACCAGTAAGATATTTGAATATTCTAAACCCAGAAAATGTCCTAAAAGATCCTAATTTTGTTTGAATAGTTTTAATTGAAGTTGTGGAAAGTTTAAAACTTAAAATAGTGGAATAAGATCTTAATTCCTGTTAAATACTGAATTATACAAGGAATATGATAAAGAATACGGATCCTGAGAAATTAAAGAAAAACGCTACCTATACTAGATTAGATACTTCTAATATTCATACTTTCATACTTCTAATAGTTAATACATAGTATACTAATATTCATACTCAGACTTATCAAAGTAGATTTTTAGTTAGACTTAGATACTTCTATTATTTATAATTAAAAACTTATATTATTTTCACTTAGTTGCGTATACTTCTATTGTTTTTGCTTCGATACGTATACTTCAATTGTTTATGCTTCGATGCGTATATTTCTAATATCTATATACTTAGATGCTATACTTCTAATATCTATATACTCAGATGCGTATACTTATAATATATATGTACTTAGATGTGTATACTTCTAAAATCTATATACTTAGATGCGTATACTTCTAATATCTATATACTTAAATGCGTATAACAATATCTATATAATTAGATATGTATACTTCTAATATTTATAGAATGAAAAGAATAAAGAGAAAGAAGAAGAAAAAAGAAGAAAAAAATAAAAGATGTAAAAGATAATGAAAAGGATAAAGTGAAAAGAAAATGAAAAAAATAAAGAATGAAAAAATAAAGAATGAAAAAAATAAAGAAAATGAAGAGGAGATATAGTAAAGGTAATGAACGAGGAGGAGAGAAACTTCAATTTATTAAGTGAATAAGGAGGATTCAGATGAGAAAGAAAATGAAAAGAGAAAGTTTAATAAGAGGATGAACAAAATAAAGAATTAAAAGAAAAAGTAAAATGAGGAGATAGGTTAATAAGAGAATGAAAAAAATGAGAAATGTTGTGAAAACCTGAAAAATCTCTCCAAGTTTCTGAGTCCATCTGTCCCTCTTCTTGTTTTTCAGTACTCTCATAGCCATGATGAAGCTATTATTATGTACTCTAAAAAATACAGAAGAAGTTTCACACCAATTTTGAGAGTTTTTATGAAATATTTTGAAAATAATATTTTCTATTTCTTTTGGCGTAACTATCATATTTGTCGCCGCAGTTCAATCTATTGAATATTACCTCACACAAAGTCCAATATTCTTTTATGTAAACCAAGACAGAAATCTTGAGGCTTTAACGAGGTTTCAGAAAAATAGAATCTTAACCCTATTCCGGCTGGGGGGTAACTGGGACTTCCCCCTGAGGATTTTCGGAGATAACTCAAAAAGTATTGGACTGAGGCTGTTCAAATTTTTTTTGATTTTTATAACTAACACATGCCCCTTACATTAGGCTCAAAGAGGGGCTTTTATACCTACTGCCTGAGTCCTCAGGCATACTGCCTGAATTCTTTATTTTACCTTTACCCGACTAAATCTATCTTTAGACCTACTTCTGGTCATTGGATTTCGACATTTTTCAGCTCTTTAGAAAGCCTTGAACAAAAAGAAGCAGATTAAACAATTTTTGCGAAGAAATTTCCCAAAGATTTTTTTTGCACAGATGCCTTTGAAGAGAATTTGCTTAGTTTCAGTTTTCCTCGAATACAAACTTAGTTTTTGAAAATATTGCAAATATTTTTGAAAATTTGAATTAGCCGTGTTTTTTGTTTTTGCACATTTTTTGCTTAATAACATTATATTCGATAAATATTTGAAATTTCGCCAACTTGCATTTTTTTTGCAGATTATTAAAGAAGAGCCCACGGGCTTTCCAAAAATGTCCCAGGGACCCCCCAGACTATTTTGGGTTAACCAGACTTCAGTCTGAATAGGGTTGACCTGAGCTGGGAACTCTTATTTTGTGGATAGCGAGATCAATGCTTGATTAGCTCGATCTTTTGTTAATCTGCAGATTAATTTAATCTTTATCCGATATCCCGCATGGTAATCGTACCTAGTCAGGGGGGGGGGTGTTAAAGGAAGGGAGCTATGTCCAGATGAGGAATAACAGGTTAAGCATTGATCTTCAAATTAAAGTGCCCACAGTGGATATCGAGATCAAAAATCGAGATTAGGAGTATACCCAAAAGTTCCCAGCTCAGATCTAGTTAGTAATTAAAAATTGGTAAGTAACACAAGGCCCTTGCTGATATTAACGTAAAGAAGTTGTAAACAAGGGCATTCAATAGAAATATCTGGTATACAGTGAGATTCATAAAACCTTGGAATATCTTATACTTAAATAATGATTTTAAATAGTCCAATGAACTTGAAACACAGCAATTGTGCAGTAAACACAGACCTATTTCACTAGATAAGTTGATTTTCAAACTACTGTTGAAACTATTCCAAGTCTAATCTAACAACATCAAATACACATAAGATTGCTTAAAAGCCGTCTTATTCCGCAGTTGTATGGGTCCTACTGAATTAATGTTTGCAGGGACTAGAATTCATGTATACGGATATCCTTTAGCTGGTGAAGACTGAGTACGGAGAACTGAACTCTACAAGTGTCCGAGAATCGATCTATGGATGGAGAGGAGCGGAGTTTAGTCCACTCATGGTTCCGTAATATCCTCGGTTCCTACACTTTATCCTCGGTTCCTGTGGGTTTATTCTTGGTTCATGTATCTGTATTCTTGGTTCCTGTGTCTGTATTCTTGGTTCCTGAATCTGCTTTCTTGGTTCCTGTATTTGTATTCTGGGTTCCTGTATCTTTATTGTTCATTCCTGTATCTGTAGTTTTGGTTCCATTATCTGTTTATTTGGTTCCTGTATCTGTACTTTTGATTCCTGCATCTGTATTCTTGGTTACTGTATTTGTATTCTTGGTTCCTGTATCTGTATTTTCGGTTCCTGTATCTGCATACTTGGTTCCTGCATCTGTACTCTTGGTTCCTTTGTCTGCATACTTGGTTCCTGTATTTGTATTCTTGGTTCCTGTATCTGTATAATTTGTTCCTGTATGTGTATTCTTGGTTCCTGTATATGTATTTTTGGTCTCTATATCTGCATACTTGGTTCCTGTATCTGCATACATGGTTCCTGTATCTGCATACATGGTTCCTGTATCTGCATACTTGGTTCCTGTATCTGCATACATGGTTCCTGTATCTGCATACTTGGTTCCTGTATCTGCAAACATGGTTCCTGTATCTGCATACTTGGTTCCTGTATCTGCATACATGGTTCCTGTATCAGCATACATGGTTCCTGTATCTGTATTCTTGGTTCTTTTGTCTTTATCTATATTTTTGGTTCAAGCGTATATGTATGAAAGGCACATTCCGCAATATTAATATGTTATTAAACAAATTTTTGCACAGGTGAATCCGTTCCAGCCCGGTCTCTTTGTCATCACTCCAGCAAACTTTTCCACCATCACTTGACTGGATTTTAAAGCTTTTTTGTTTCGAAATCAAGTATTTTTAATTTGGAGTGTTTAAACTTGTAACTCATTAGAATAATAGTTAATTTTTTAACTGGCTTAGTTCTGCAATCTTAATTTCCATTTATGCTCGAGACCATATGTAACCTAGGATGATCATTTTAGAAAGTATTGATAGTTTTCTAAGTGTTTCTTTGATTAAGCCAGTTGTTAGCCATGATAAGCCGGGAGGTGCTGACCAAAGCACTAACGATCGGGATGTGCTTTTTCGAGCAAACTCTGTCCTTTTTACAGGATTGTATCCTGGGTACTTCTACTTTAAGTAAAGGTTTAAAAAAAAATCCTTGGTTCCGATACTTTTGTCTATATCCTGGGTTCCTATATCTGTATCCAATGCGTTCCTGTATATGCATATTTTGTTCCTGCAGCTGTATTCTTGGTTCCTGTATAAGGTATCTGTATTATTGATCACTAAATCCGTATTCTTATTTTTGAATCAGTACAAGTAACCTTGGTTTCTGTATCTGTTTTCCTGGTTCCTGTTTCTGTAGCTGTATTTTTGGTTCCCGTATCTTTACTATTGATTACTGAATCCGTATTCTTGGTTCCTGTATCTGGTTTCTTGGTTCCTGTTTCTGTAACTGTATTTTTGGTTCCTGTATCTTTACTACTAATTACTGAATCCGTATTCTTGGTTTCTGTATCTGTTTTCTTGGCTCGTTAATGTTGTACCAATAAAAATGGGAATTCGATATCGTCTTTTTAGATAATTCTTTGATAAAGTATAGTGATACCTACTGTGAAAGCTATAGTAAGTATGAATTTCGTCTGCTATGTTTACAATTTTTTTGTCCATGTTTTGACTGCACACGGTTGTACTTAGTAAAACAGAAAATTACAGTATACCAAAGAGCTTTGTAATATAAAGAGTAGGCATTTGGATTTATACGCAAAACCAGACGCCTCAATTGGGTTGAATAAGAAGCCATAGAATGTCGTCTTTTCTATTATTTAAAAAGATTTTAGAACTTTTAAAGCATTTTCATCACCAAAACCTTGCGTATTTTAGGTAATGTGTCGTTAGAAATGCATAACTTTATTATCTTTTTAGATAAACTTTATCTTAAAACAGACTGCGATGTAATTGGTTTAAAAAATTTGGCTGCTTAAAACCTAGGTTTTTTCGGGCCTTGCTAACGTTACTGGCCTAACATTCTGCTTTAGACTAGACAAAACTAAACATAATGACATTCTAACAAATTTTGTTTCAAAATATGTGGTATTTTTCATACAAATGAAATGCGTAACAAAATCACAATTTTAGATTTCTTTATTTTATCAGGAGAGCATCCTATCCTATAACTGTTAAAACAAATTTAGAAGTATATAACCGTGTCGTTATTTTACCACCTTTTTTAGACCCACAATGATTAATTTATTTGATACTAGAGTTTCAATGTTAATTGTTTGAATTTAAAACCAATACTGCAGCCAATGACGTCATTTAAGAGTGTACAGAGCGTACACACTATTCGGATAAATTCCTAATGCCCTATCTTCTACTATTCTACCGTCTTTGCAGTATACAAACCAAAGAGAATAGAATATATATTAGAGGGGAATTTACTAGAAAAAAGTGTAAAACGGCCATTTTGTTGTACTGTTTCCATACTGCAGGTGTACTTCACATATTTATGCTATATAACCTTTTGGGCCCTGGAATATCATTTTATAGAAAATCTAAAATTAATGTGGAAAGAAAACCAAATTATGAAATAGGCTGGTTTCATAATTGACCAATGATCATTTCACATAGACTTAATGCCTTTCACTTTACAAACGATGATTTTGCCGTTAAAACTATAAATCAAATGATGTTTTTTTATTCACCTAATTCATTATAAAGTTTATTTAAAAGCTTTAAAAATTTCGAAATTGAAATGAATAGTTTAGGGAACATACTGTATTAATGTACTCTACTGCATATAATTTGTGAACATTTACATGATTTGTACACTTTTAACTCCCTTCCAGGCTGAAAGGGACTGAAAAAATTCATACCGAGAGATTCTCTAAATTCCCCTCTAATATATATTCTATTCTCTATGATAAAAACAGAGTAAACTTGTCCGTCTTAACTGTTCATCTTGCGGAGACATTAAAGACATATCTTTACAGCCCTTTATCGTTTTCATAAAATAAACTCTAGCAGACATAATAATACTATGGCTTTTGAAATCAGGTATTACAATGCCAATTTATAAAAAAGACGATATCGAATAATACTATGGCTTTTGAGATCAGGTATTATAATTCCAATTTAAAAAAAAGACGATATCGAATTCGTCACTGAATTCCCATGTTTATTGAGAAACCCTGTATATCCGTATTCTTGGTTCCTGTTTCCGTATCTTTATTATTGATTACTGAATCCGTATTCTTAGTCCCTGTAGCTGTATCCTTGATTGGAGAGCATGTTTTTTACATTTTTCAATTATTCTGAATTTCAATTTATTCCATTTTTAGTTTAAATATCAATAAGATTAGACTAGTTGGCATTTCGTGCTCTTCTACATTAATCTTTCATTTCATGTTCTTGGTTTAATCTAGGACGCATATTCTATCTACAGGGTGTCCCACGAAACATGACAGTTGGTGAATATTTTAGAATGTCTTCTTTTATAATTTATTAAGTTGTTTGATATCACAGATTAAGATATATTGGAGCACAAGATTTTTCTATCGAGCTGAACTGCAAAGAGTCTTTAAATCTTATCCAGTATTTGAAAGGGACTGTAGGCGTAATTTCAAGTGAGCATCTAATTGTAGAGTGGTGTGCGCGATTATCTTCAGCATCCTTTAAACTTTTAACAGATCAAGGATGCCGGACATATTTTCTACAAAAACGCTTCTATTGTTGATACTTTTTTTCAAGTTATTTTATATTAAAGAAAAATTAATATTTACTTTCTACAATTCGAATAAAATAAATATTTACTTTTAAATTTTTGGAAAATATTTAGCTTTATCCCAGGACACAAGTAAAGTCAACTGGGTTCACTTCACTTCACACAGTACACTAGCCTACACTCCCGATTTACGGAAATTTGAACTATATTTAAGATATAAACTCAGGTAGATCTCTGTCCTCAATGAACAGTAAAAGGTTTAAAGGGTACCGTTGTATGGAGGTTTACTTGAAATTACGCTTACAGTCACTTTAACATTGATTTTTGAATCTTTCAGTATAATTCTTTTTTCTATTTATCTTTCAAATAAACAAATCAAAAATAACGGGAGCAGTTTATTAAATATTTAAAGCACCAAAAATCACAATTTTTTTTATCCAGACATTTCAACCAATAAATTTATGTTCAAACATATTATAAACATTTGTTATGTGTTAGCTGCAAAATTCATTATAGTATTTGTGGAAAGCTGAATTTTTTTAATTAAGAATAATATTAGTAAATTTGTAAATTTTAACCTTAACAAGCTAGCTAGTCCATAACCATCTTTTATAAATAACAATATTAATCTTGTTGTCAGCAATGGCACAATATATATAATCGTATAATTATGGTTTATATATATTTTACAATTAGTAATATGATTAGAAAACAACCAAGTCCAGATCTGCGAAATACTTGATTTAACAAAGCTACCAATTAAAGAGAGATTGTACAGTGTACATTGTAGCGCACTCAGGTACAAGCACAATTGAGCGTACATAAATTAAGAAGTTTTGAATTTAAAAGATGTGCATAAGTAATATATTTAAAAATAGCTTTTTGTGCATTAGATTAGAGTTTAGAAACTTGGTGTATGTGATGCTTAAAGTGATGGTCCACATTCCTAGCCTGCAGAATCAAAAAGATTCTAGGATGTTGGTTTCCAAGTTTTTCAGATCTAGGTTTAGGATCAGATACCGGGTTAAACGCTTTTTCAGCTGAAATATTAAGTTCCAAGCTTAAGCTAGACTGATTATTCTGCCTGAACCCAAGCTATAATGATTATTCTGCCTGAACCCAAGCTATAATTACCAGAACCAGAGAATTCAACAACATTATTCTAAACCAGAACCAGAGAATTCAACAACATTCTTCTAAACCAGAACCAGAGAATTCAACAACATTCTTCTAAACCAGAACCAGAGAATTCAACAACATTCTTCTAAACCAGGACCAGAGAATTCAACTACATACTTCTAAACCAAGACCAGAGAATTCAACAACATTGTTCTTAACCAGGACCAGAGAATTCAACAACATTGTTCTAAACCAGGACCAGAGAATTGAACAACATTGTTCTAAACCAGGACCAGAGAATTCAACAACTTTCTTCTAAACCAGAACCAGAGAATTCAACAACATTATTCTAAAACAGAACCAGAGAATTCAACAACATTATTCTAAACCAGAACCATAGAATTCAACAACGTTCTTCTAAACCAGAACCAGAGAATTGAACAACATTGTTCTAAACCAGGACCAGAGAATTCAACAACATTGTTCTAAACCAGGACCAGAGAATTGAACAACATTGTTCTAAACCAAGACCAGAGAATTCATCAACATTCTTCTAAACCAGGACCAGAGAATTCAATAACATTGTTCTAAACCAGGACCAGAGAATTGAACAACATTCTGCTGAACTATGTTGAACCATAGAATTCAACATTAATCTTCTAAACCAGAACCAGAGAATTTAACAACATTCTGCTGAACTATGTAGAAGCAGAGAATTCCACATTTAAATAAAAAAGATTTAAGACTCCGACTAAAGAAATGAATAAACAAAACTAGAGGAAGGAAATTCAACTTCATTCTTCTAAACCAGAACAAACCCAGAAAATTCAGTATTATTGCTTTAAACAGAAACAAATGACTCTGTTCTCGTTGTTTTAAAGATTTAATATTATTTTCTCATAACACCAAAACAGGAATCGAATTTAAAAAATTTGCAGGGTAGCTCAACCGTCGGTTCAAATATGAATCACCGATTCAAGTCCTTAAGATACTTGCACAGTATTATTCTCTTCTCCTAGATATACCAGTCTTAAGATACTTGCACAGTATTATTCTCTTCTCCTAGATATATCAGTCTTAAGATACTTGCACAGTATTATTCTCCTCTCCTAGATATATTAGTCTTAAGATACTTGCACAGTATTATTCTCTTCTCCTAGATATATCAGTCTTAAGATACTTGCACAGTATTATTCTCTTCTCCTAGATATATCAGTCTTAAGATACTTGCACAGTATTATTCTCCTCTCCTAGAGATATTAGTCTTAAGATACTTGCACAGTATTATTCTCCTCTCCTAGATATACTAGTCTTAAGATACTTGCACAGTATTATTCTCCTCTCCTAGATATACCAGTCTTAAGATACTTGCACAGTATTATTCTCCTCTCCTAGATATATTAGTCTTAAGATACTTGCACAGTGTTATTCTCCTCTCCTTGAAATTTCAGTGTTAGTATATTTTTGATATTCTCTTCTCCTGGATAATATCAATCTAAGTATAGTTGAAAATGTACAGAATACAATCTCTTCTCCTGGATAATATCAATCTAAGTATAGAGTTGTAAATGTACAGAATACAATCTCTTCTCCTCAAAATTATCAATCTAAGTATAGTTGTAAATGTACAGAATACAATCTCTTCTCCTGGATAATATCAATCTAAGTTTAGTTGTAAATGTACAGAATACAATCTCTTCTCCTAGATAATATCAATCTAAGTATAGTTGTAAATGTACAGAATACAATCTCTTCTCCTAGATAATATTGATCTTAGCGTCCTGTACGCTGTACAATTATTTTCTGTTCTTTTCCTAGAAATTGTCAATCTGTATTCTCTATATTCATCTAGGAAATGTATGTTATATTTTCTGTATTCATCCTAAAAATATACAATCTATATTTATTCTTGAAATATAGAATTCAATAGTTGTTTTCAACCCTTTATTATGATTTGAAAATAGTTCCTGTAGTAGACCAGGGTTGTCTAGAGATACCATGGTAACTCCTAGAATAGGACCTCTAGAGAAGGTTCCCTTCTTATCTACCACACAAATCTAAACAAATAAATTCTTATTTAAATTCAAAAATCTAAACAAATAATTTCTTAATTAAATTCACAAATCTAAGCAAATAATTTCTTATTTAAATTCACAAATCTAAACAAATAATTTCTTAATTAAATTCACAAATCTAAGCAAATAATTTCTTATTTAAATTCACAAATCTAAAGAGAAAACTCCATATTAAAGGCTTTATAAACTTGAAGCCCTTTATATTTATTATACTGTGTTATCCCAAAGTACAGTTCAATAGCAATGCATAAGTAGTAAATTGGAGGAATCATTGATTTTTGTCAAATGTAGGTAAACTTGATATTAACTGAAAATATGTCAGCTTACCTTTAGACTATGCTCTTGAAGGTTGTTGAAAGAAACATCAAAATCAAACTCTTCATCAAACCTGAAAAATATTTGTTCAGATTTTTATTTTGATTAAATATAAAAGGGTCTTCTTTTTTTGTCCGCCCAATCCCTTTAAGGATGACATAATTCAATCAAGTGATTAAAGAATTAATCATAAAGATTGAAGAATCCGGGGTAAAATTGAAAAGCAAAATATTTCTGATGTCAGCTCTTCAGTCTTAATTCATTATCATTTATTAGCCTTAATATTATCATAATAGCATATTAAATCTTTCTTTTATATCTGAAATATTCCGTTTTTTTGAAGGAAAAAAGGAATAGCAATGGCAACCAATTGGTTTCTTAAATAAAAAATAGTCACAATTAAAACCAGAAAACTGTGGAATAGGAAGACGACTTTTAGTCTCAAGTCATGATTTAAAATAGTCCATTGAACATGAAAGATATCAATAATGATGTGTGCACAGACAATTTCAATTTAAAAAGTGATTAGTAAAATAGTAAAATATTTGCTTAGTAACAACATAAAATACACGTAAATGTTGCTTTGAGATGGTCTTCCTATTCCAGAGTTTTCTGGTTCTCAATGTATCCTACCAAAGCAAAACTCTCATTTACCTTGGGTTCCCTGTATCCTTCACCACGCTGGTCTTCTTCTTCTTTCTCTTCCCCGGCATCAGGTAGATCTTTACGTATGGGTCTGGGGGGTCGGGTAGATCACCACCTGGATAAATTTGTTTAGATTCCGTTCCGGTTCAGTACGGTTCGGTTAGAAGTAGTAGAGGTTGATTCATTTCAGTTCAGTTTGGTTCGGTTTGGTTAAGAGTAGAGGTTGGATCATTTTAGTTTGGTTAGGAGTAGACGTGGTTAAATCATTTCAGTTAGGTTTAGTTCGGTTATGAGTAGTAGTGGTTGGATCATTTTAGTTCGGTTCAGTTCAGTTCGGTTCGGTTAGGAGTAGTAGAGGTTGGTTCAATTTAGTTTAGTTTGGTTCGCTTCGTTTAGGAGTAGTAGAGGTTAGTTCATTTCAGTTTAGTTTGGTTCGGTTCGGTTAGGAGTAGTAGAGGTTGGTTAATTTCAGTTCGGTTAGATTGGGAGTAGTAGAGGTTGTTCAGTTCAGTTCAGTTTGGTTGGTTCGGTAAGGAGTAGAGTTTGGATAATTTTAGTTCGATTAGGAGTAGTGGTGGTTGGATCATTTTAGTTCGGTTTAGTTCGATTAGGAGTAGTAGAGGTTGGTTCATTTCAGTTTAGTTTGGTTCGGTTAGGAGTAGAGGTTGGACCATTTTAGTTCGGTTAGATTGGGAACTACTCGGTTGGACCATTTCAGTTCAGTTTGATTGGTTCGGTTAGGAGTAAAGTTTGGGTAAATTTAGTTTGGTTAGGAGTAGTAGAGGTTGGTCATTTCAGTTAGAGTTGGTTTTGTTCGGTTAAGAGTAGTAGTGGTTAGATCATTTTAGTTCGGTTAGATTGGGAGTAGTGTGGTTGGATCATTTTAATTTGGATTGGTTGGGTTAGGAGTAGTAGGGTTGGTTCTGTTCGGTTAGGAGTAGCAGTGGTTGGATCATTTTAGTTCGGTTAGATTGGGAGAAGTAGAGGTTAGATCATTTTAATTTATGGTTGGTTCGGTTAGGAGTAGTAGTGGATGTTTTATTTCAGATTGGGTTGGTTCTGTTCGGTTAGGAGTAGTAGTGGTTGGATCATTTTAGTTCGGTTAGATTGGGAGAAGTAGAGGTTAGATCATTTTAATTTGGGTTGGTTCGGTTAGGAGTAGTAGTGGTTGTTTCATTTCAGATTGGGTTGGTTCTGTTCGGTTAGGAGTAGTAGTGGTTGGATCATTTTAGTTCGGTTAGATTGGGAGAAGTAGATGTTAGATCATTTTAATTTGGGTTTGTTCGGTTAGGAGTAGTAGAGGTTGGTTCATTTCAGTTCATTTCAGTTCGGTTTTGTACAGTTTCGTTTAAAATGGTCAATTCAGATCATTAAATAATAATTAACCTGGAAGACCAGTGGCCTCATGAACGAATAGTTTTAGCTCACTCTTTAAATCATCATATATAATAGTAAGACGGATCTTTCCATTTGTTCCAACTACTCTTCTCCTTAAACCATCATCTCCTTCTCCTAATTCTCCTAAATATATATATATAAATCAAACTCCTTTTCTCGTCAAACCTTTCTCCTGTTTCACTACTTTTCTTTTGAAACCTCTCCTTGTCCTAAATATAATAATAATAATAATAATAATAATCGCTGTCAAAACTTCAATCAATATCATCTAATTCCATTTATCCTCAAACCCAAGGATGTAATGCAAGGAAAGTTATTTCAGAAGTGTACACATCTTTTGTACTGCAGTGTACTGTCTCTGGGCGGTAATGTAAACACAAGACGGATGTCAAAGCCTGACATGGGATCCATTTTTCACATAAAAAATCAATGAAATATTCTGGTCATAGGAAACTATTCTGTGAATTATCAAAATTATCAAAATTTAGTGCTTTTAACCTCCTCGGATACTAGACGAAAACTGATGCATCTATTCTTGTTTACAAATTCCGCCCAGAGAGAACTGGTTTCAATTTGTACGCAGAGTATACACGACTGCAATTAACTTTCCTTGCATTACACCCTTGCTCAAACCTATCTCTTTTTCTCTATTCTTCCCCCTTTAAACAAAGAAGAACTACACATAATCTTAATCTTTCTTAAACATTTCAGAACAGAAAAAATGTTTTCATAGATAGCAAAATTGTATATATATATAAATGTATATGTCTCTTACCAATAGATGCCTGAGGACTTGCAATACTGATTGTTGGTGATATGGCTGCCGCAATTATATTATTGTGCGATGGACGACGTATTTGCTCGATTTTCTAAATATCAAAAAATGTAATTTAAAAAAAAACATGGCGAAATTTATTGCAATTTACCTCGTGAAGAGAAAATTCAAAAGAGAAGCATATTTTTCCTCGTTTGACTCCTTCCAAATCCTTCCAGTGGTTTATTATATCCTGGCCAGCAACCACTCCAGATAAATCAATAACTACTGATCCTAGAAACTCATCCTTACCAACATCATCATCATACAACTCTATCTTCATCAAGGTGGAATCTCCAACCTTGTAAACAAACTGTTCCTGGAAGTTGAACTCTGGGTTAAGATTGTTCTTGAAGACCTTGGATTTCATTTTCTGGTGGTTAAATCTAAGTACAACATAAGGATCTGATTTTCCAGCAAAATCTTTCTTTTCCAGGTCAATAGCTCTATGAACAGTAGCATTCAAGAATCCAGATTCCTGAACAGGCTGAGGCTCTGCAGGGGTGAAAGTAAATTCAGTGTTTTCATTTCCAGTTATATCATTCTCATCCTCAACCATATAGCCAAGTGTATTATCAGCTGAAGATTGAGGGGCAGGGGATGAAGGTTCAGATTGAGACCTTTGGCCTGGATCTGTCACATCAACAGCAGGTTCGTCTAGTTTGATCAGGAGATCTTCATCCTTTAAATGATCTCCAATTTCTTTCTTTTGAACAGGGTCAACTGTTTCAACTTCCTCCTAAAGTAATTCTTTGTTGCAGTCTAGGAAAAACATTAATATTTCTTAATTTATAAAAATTCTTCAGTTTTGCATTTTAAATTTTCCGAGATTACAAAACAAAGGCAATATGTACCGAAAGTAAATATTTTGAACAATATTATGCAGGGTGGTTAAAACATGGATAAGCGTTTTTAAGATGACTCGAAAATTACAACCCATTTAAACAATATCGATTTTCGCATTCCCCAACATATTATTTTACTAATTATGGCACCTTCTTAAAGGATTGTTTAGGAGTAAATTCTGCAGAGAGAAGAATCTTTCCACTCTTACAATGGGAAAGATCGGTCCATTCCTGATCCCAAAAGATTACATTATTTTCTGCATAATTTTACAAAGATCACTGAAAACTCATGTTCTCAAAATCTATTAAATTATTATATTAGAAAATATAATCTTTCCTGAAGAATAGAGCCGGCATAGGAAACCCTTCTTACATCAAGTGTTGTTAAACCCAACGGTTCATCCTGAAAAAAATCAAGATTGCTTTCGAGGTTCCTAAGCATATATTGCAGCCGAGAAATGACGCATCTTTAACAAATTTATAATCCTTACTGTGTACCTTTCGATTCAAGTATTCTACATACATATATATAAATATATATATAAAAAGTATTTATGTATATGTATATTGAGTATTTATGTCTGTTTGTATGGCTGTTTCTTTGTTTGTTGAAATGTCCAATCATAACTTATGAATTTGCCTGAAATTTTGGTTGCGGAACCAGGGAGAAGCACGAAAATATTCTTAGCTTGGTTTAAAAATTCCATTATAAGTGGTTGATTTTAATCAAGCTCAGTTTCCCGGCAAAGCTGGGTTCCAATACAAGTAGTGTTTGTATATGTTTTATATTTAAAGTATTACGCGTGCACTGTGCATTGTGTTGTATATTTATTTATCTAAACTATCTATATACGTGTATAATGTAAACACTATCAATGGCATAGACCGGGGGGGGGGGAGGCTATTGGGACTCAGCCCCCCGGACCCCTCCCATGGATCAGTAAAATCTATGGTTTCAAGGGGTTTTTTAGCCCTCAACGGGTGATAAGTCCTCCCCTAGATTTATTCCTGTTTACGCCCCTGAACGCTATGAAGAGGTTTCATGGTGGATCGAAGTTTTTTTCTGAAAAATCATAAACTTGTAAATCGAAATAAAAATTACCTTCCCAATCTTGTCTTTGTCGAAGACCCGAATATGAATTTGATTGTCACCGTTCTCCTTGATATTGATTACTTCTTCATGGTACCATTCAGGTTCTACTGTATTCTTACAGGTCTAAACAAATTATAATAATAACAAGTCAACCATCATACAATACAAAAAAAATAATCTAGTAAAAGGGACTGTGCGGCGTAATTTCCAATGACCCTCCATGCAAAGAGGACAATGTCCAGTTTAGTACACTACCCTTTAAACCTTTGTCCGTTCATCGAGCAAAGAGAATCTATTGAAAACCGCTTCATTCTCCGTAAAACCCGGTGTACGCTACGTCCAGTGGGAAGTCACTGTTAACTCCCTGAAAATCGCTAAATATTTTATGTTAATAACGGTTTTCAAGATTATTTTGTTTTCTCCCACGTCCAGAAAACGAATATTAATATCTTTTAAATATAAACAAGCTTTAAAACAAAGTGTTTAACAATTCAAAGCGTTTCTGTAGATTACTGAGGAACAGTCCGATAACCCTGATCAATCAAAGGTTTAAAGGCTACTGTCGGGAATCAGACACGTCACTCTATAATTTGATGCTCACTTGAAATTACGCATACAGTCCCTTTAATTCTACTTTTCCTAATAATGATTAAATCGTAACCTTAGTTTTAGATTCTTGATCTTCGTATGAGATGATGGCATATGGATCAGATTTACCATTCACGTCCTTTTTCTCCAGATTTGAGCCCTGAACAATTTGTTGATAATATACAGTTTAACCCAGAACTGACGAGACATCGAAAGAATTTGTGAATGTTGTTTTCTCAACCTACTGATAATGAAATGCCACAGTTTTCTTTTTTAATTAATATCTGTAATTTTTTAGTTAAATATTTTATGGAGCCTTTTAAAACTGTTCCCGCATATTTCATAGCTATTTATTTATTTTTAAAATTACCAAGATACAAAAGGATAAAACCCATTGAAAAATTGTCAATACTACATTTTATAAATTCGTTCGAACTCCGAGTTCCGGGTTAAACTGCACTATTTCTTAAATGTTACTTTCTGTTTTCTGGTTTATTTGTACTCCAGCTTAATTGCTGTTTAGCTTAAACCTTATGTTTTGTTAAAACGTTATTAAAGCTTGAAATTACACTTAAAACTGTTATTTTACCTTAAAAAGCTGTAACTTGATTGTCCCAGCTTTAACAGTTTCATCATATAAAGCTGTTTTAACTTGAATGCCACTACTCTGTTCGATTCCTAGACCTTAATTAATAAGATACAAGTTTACTATTGAATAAACAATTATAAGAATGTAAAAAATAGTTTTTAAACTACGCAACATTCAATCTCTTTAATCTAGAATCAATATAAAAACCCAATAAACTACTGATAATATATTGTGAAGTAAATAATGTAATTCCTAGTGAGAGAGAAAATTCTAGTAATCGCAAAAACTATAAAAAATTATAATTTCAAATTTTATAAAAGTTATTCCAAAAATTCTAAATACCGGTTCCTTGTTCTAAATTTCAAAATGTTGATTATATACTAGTTTTGCATCCGAAATTTATTCAATTGTACGGAATTTTCATTAGCATTTCACAAAGTGTAAAAATTACCGTCTATGAGTGGAGTTACATCAGCTGTTTTCTTAGGCGACGATGACTGTTTCATCAAACCCCTGGTTCGCATTGTTATTTGAGATTAGCAAAATTGTTTAAAAAGATTTGATAAATGTATTCTCTACAATCTACATCCCTAGTATTATTTTCTTTTTACTAACTACTTAATTTTGCCACTTTCAGTGCATGATGACTTTATATTCTTTATTCTGTGCTTTATCTGACTCCCAATAATTTCCTGACAGACACAGACATGGTTATCTGAGCATCAGAACTTGATCCCTGTGAAGAAAATTTACAAAATATTATTAGAAAATCAACAACTTAATCCAAAGTGTACAATGATGAGCAAAGCTAAAGCTTGAACACCAAACCAATCCCATATTTAAAAAGTTACAACAAATAAAATATAGAAAATAGAAAAATTAATGATGACCTTGAGAATCCATGGCTGAAGAGGGTATTCCATATCCGGTTGTTTGATAATGTTCCAAACATTAACACTCATAGTTCCAATACAATTGTTCTGTTTACTAGTATCTAGAACCCTAAAAAGCAATATTATTAAAATTAGCTCCAGGAACGGTTTTGATTTAGGCCAGTTTACAGTTGCATTCCTGCAGCCTAGGATAACAAAGCTTTGCTAGATAGCTCTCTGCACTATTTGCAGTGGACGCTGAGAAAGGTGTCTGCACATATGGAGGGAGGGAAGGCCAAGCGGCCCTGAACCCCGTGCTCAATTAGCTAGCCTCCTTCTTAACTACAAGAGCCACGGCCGGGGTGCTGAGTCAAGAAATAGGAATAAAATAGAGCTACTATGTCTAATACTAATCCGGTTTTATATCAACTCCAATTAGCGATCAAAACCCTTTCTTGGAGGGCCCTTTCCCTGATCCCTGAGCAGAGCTGTTAAAAGGGGACAACACTGCATAATGCATACAGCGGTGCACACTAAATGCGATACTTCCTAAGGAATTCCGCTGGACTGGGAAACAGTACAACATGTGGTCAAATGAAGTGATTTTAACGAAACATTCCTAATACACCATTCCTACAAACCGTTATCCTCATCTCCAAATCTCCTCTACCTACCATCTAACCTTCTCACAAGAAGCAAAATGAGAATCAAGGACATTTCTCTGTTGAATCCTACACCAAAATTACCTCTGAGCGGGTCACTAGATTATTCTTCGTTGAATAGCAACCCTCCTTGTACTGGAAAGTTTAAGTAGGGAAGCTATTGCTCCCTCGCTGGAAATAGAGACTACCTTGAAGTACTAGAAGTGAAGACCTATAGCCAGTGCAATTAGACAAAATGTTCAGCGCTGAGGCTGCAATTACAATTAAGCAAAACAAGAAACTGAGAGGGGACATCTTTACAATAAAAGAGTGATGGCGCGCAGGCAAAGGGAGGCAAGAAAAAGAGGAAGTGCGGACGCGCATATGAAAACAGATTATTGATGAACATTTGAAATTACTAACTATGCCTCGTAACATTTTATTTTACAAAAATTATATAAAAAAAATTATAAAAACATTGTTGAAAAATTAAGGCCAAAAATCCTTAGTCTGAAATGTGAAAACTAAAATTGTACCATCATTCTTGTTATTTATTTTGATTAGATTGATTTTACAGATATCATCATTATCCAATGCGACCCAAAAAGTGTCCATGAAATATGTAAATAAAAGGTAATAATAAGAAAATACACAATTAAGTTGTACTTTACTTCATTTCACGTTTTTTTTCAAAAGCAAAATGTAACATGAACATATTTTTGATCTAGCAAGGTGTGTTCTATGTAATCCACACGGTTACCCACAAAGGACGAGTTTAATCTGATAGTCTAAGAGTTAATAAATACAATTAATGATATATTAAGGAACATGTTTAAAGCAGTAGAAAACAAGATTCCTTAAGGTCGTCTCCTTAGTCTCCTCCTTTGTAGTCAACCCTGTATATGACCCCGGCGCTGAATGTCTGATATAGAATTGTGAGTTGAGAGATTATTATCTAGAGTAAAGTTCTTATCCTTGACAGAAATTAAATAGAGCGGAACCAAGAGAAACATTAGATTAGATTAAAGTTCCAACAAATGTCCTGAGGTCGGAACTTTTGAGTGGAGTATCCTTAATCTTGAACTTTTGATCTCGATATATAATGTGGGCACTAAAAATACTTTAACCCTAAATCAAAGTTAATCCTGCGGGGTATGAAGAGGTATGAAGGGTTATCGAAGAGGAATTAAATTAATCCGATGATCTACATAAGATGGAGATTTAAGCTTGATTCCAAGATCCACCACACTAAAGTTCTGACTTCCGGTCATATAAACATTACAACTTTTAATATTCATGTTGGGAGTAGTACGGTGATGTGGGCTCTACCCAAACCTTTCTTCGGACTGATGGGTGACTGTTTTATTTATTTATAAATTCATAGAACCATAGTAGCCTACATAGACATGGACAATGTATTTTTGCATATTTTCACAGTTAACACTAAAATAGATTTGTTCAAAACCAGCGGTTGGTTTTTAGTTTGTACAACCTTACAACTTTAATTATTTATAATATCAGTCTCCGACAAACTTAAAAACCGTTAAACTGATTTTTAACAATATATTTTTGCATAGATGCTCTTAAAATGTCAAAAATTAAATCATAAAAATATCAACTGTTTACTCGAAACCAATGCTTGGTTTTTAGTTTGAAAACGGCCTAGCCAAATAAAAGAACAAAAACTAGAACGTTGCTTACTTGATGTGGATGACGTCAGCATGAGGATTGTTGACAAGCATGACAAACCCTTGTTCAATTACTGGGTTAGAAGTGAAGGATTTAGGCCAGGTCTGTCTTACATCCTACACAATCAATATATTGTTCAATTACTGGGTTAGAAGTGAAGGATTTAGGCCAGGTCTGTCTTACATCCTACACAATCAATATATTGTTCAATTACTGGGTTAGAAGGGAAGGATTTAGGCCAGGTCTGTCTTACATCCTACACAAATCAAATCAAATCACAAAAGGTAGGGATAACATTGAACTCCAGAAGGGACGGAATGTTCAAGTCCCTTCCATGTCCCGGACTTCTTTTTAATATAACCGTGTAATAACAATTGATTTTGCAAGTTGTGAAGTTCCTGGCCACACGACCAAATTATAGCCATGGGTCGCCGTCATTCAATATTTGTTCAATTACTGGGTAAGAAGTGAAGGATTTCTAGGCTGGTTGCTAATTAAATATGCCCCGTTCAATAATCGTAATCTCTCCCTTTAAGATAAGAAGTAAATTATATCAAATTATCATTCAATCTCCAACTGTTATATATTTGGATGATTTTCATACTTATCTGGAAAGCCAACATCATTCAACTAAAATAAGTATAAAGGGACTGTACGCGTAGTTTAAATTGACCCTCCATTCAATAGATATTTAATTCATACTTGATTAGACAAAGCTTTTCAGGGTACCGTTGTGAATCGGGCATTACCACCTATGCATTAAGTATCATTACGCTAACAGTCCCTTTAATATACAAACCCAAAAATTACGTTGTATTTACCTTGCCACAAGTTATCTGGACTACAGGGGAGGGTTTGTAGCCAGGATTCTTTGCATTATTCAAACCTAGAAAAATAATACATATAGTTCAATATTTTCATAGTTGATTAATTGGCTAATTGACTGTGCTATATACAGGTTTCCCCATAAAGGATGAGACTGTCAAGACGACTTGAAACTCTTAAGATGACGATTCCAGGGTTAAATCAAATAAGTTGGTCTGTTTATGGCTTACTTAAGATTTGCAGCAAAGAAAGGAAGATTACTGTTGAAGGGAATCATGAATATAGGGAAACAGACGATATAAATTCCATACAGTCGTTTCTGAAGTTTCATACTTTGTGGGTAACCCTGTAATTTAATGAAGACGACTAAGACCTGTACAGTTATCAACAAAAATGTGAAGAATACATTTAGCATTTTCATCCTCTCCATCACCCTTGCTCATCTCCCTAAATTACAGAAAAAGCTGCGTTAACGCAATTCTTATGACCCAGTTCCATAGTTGCAAAAACTTCCAAGAGCTGAGATCAAACGTGAAACATTTCAAATGAACAGCTTCCTGGAAACCTTTCTTGATGTTGTATTTATAATAAAAATAAAAATACAATAAATTGTCGATATTTCAGATCCCACAAAAGTGATAACTTTCAAACAAGTTCTGTTGTCAGGTCTTGACTTAAACAAGTTTACATAAATACCTGACATGGGTCTGATTGCTTGTAACCGGCAGCCAGCTCAGAGATACCTGATAAAATAGCATTAATATCTGTTTTTTTACAAGAAAACCCTTAATTTAAGAAAATTGGTTTAATCAATTTCTAAACCCATCAGAGATAATCGCTATTATTTATTTTAATTTAAGATAAGATCGTGGTAGACCCCCAATCCCCAGACCGCCATGGGACGTTAAGGGCCAGTGCCCAAACCCGTTCATCCCGGTACTCTGCCCCCAATACAGGGGAAGGTGGATATTTGTTTGAATAACTGCCGTTTGAACTATTGTTTTTTTTTGAACTATTGTTTGTTTGAACTATTGTTCCTTTGAACTATTGTTCCTTTGAACTATTGTTCATTTGAACTACTGATATGACGTCATACACAATATTTGCTCATTTGAACTATTTTCTTTAAACATAAGCAGTTTCATAAATTTGAGATTGGCATTCGAGCATCAAAGATTAGATTGAATGAACAAAAATAGAATTCAAATATATGTGTTATTTAGGGTTCATGATCATCATCATCATCATTATTATTATTATTATCATAATATATTTACCGTAAAAATATGTAATTCAAAAAATGCTAGACCTGAGCTTTTCCCGACTCACATTCCTCTAGGTCCACCCAGAACCCTTGAATCTCTCCTCGTTCAGCTACAGCTGCAGTCTGAACCTTGGCTCGACCCAAGAATTCATCATCACGTCGATCATCCTCGTCAAAAAACTCCATCGTGAAGTCTTGGCCATGCACGACCTCTGCAGGGATGTTAAAAATTTCATGGCTATTACACTATTTAAGGTTATCAAGGGCGTACTCAGGGGGGGAGGGGGGAGGAAGCTCAGGACTAAAAGGGTCCAAAAAAAACCTGGAAACCTTCAGGGGGGGGTCTGAGCCCCAATAGCCCCACCACCCTGAAGGTCATGCATATTGTATATCTTTTTTTTCTGGGCAACAGACTGTTCATATTGGCAAGATTTTATAACGACAAGCTAACGTAAAATAATTGGACTTCAAGAGTATGTGCATAAAAATCGCAAAAATTCTAGTACTAATACAACTAAATGGTATCTAAATGTACATATTTGAAAAGAACTTGATTTTTTTTGAAAGATTTATCATTCCTATTGGGAAATCATAAGTCCTATTCCATGATGGATTACAGTTATTTGTGATGGTTGGAGTTTTGTAGGTTGTAGCACCAACAGTAAGTATAGCATAGGGATCACTACTACCTAAAATCAACAAGGTTGAGAAATTAAAAATTAGATATATTATCACTTAGATAATTGAGTTTTTGACTCAAACTCAAATGTTCTAATTCTTTTATTCATAGTTTAATATATCTTAGGTCTACGAAATTGGGTTGAACGATATAGGGATTAGAAATTAAGAGTTTGTGGCAAAGACCTTTTTTCTATGTTACCTTTGCCTACAATAGCAACATCTTTCTGCATTAGATCCTTCGCTTGTATCAGTGTTACTCTATAAAAAAAAATCATAATAATTCAAAATTATGACGTAATAAAACAAATTTAATAAATATTTATTTTCTACCTCAGCACGCCAGCAGTGTTAGGACAGATTAGATCTTTCTTAGGAATGGAAGACGACAATGACAGGTAGAACTTGTTGGGAAGAACAATAAAGTTCCGTATCTTAAAGAATATAATGATAATTAGAACATGTTCGGAAAATTAAAGTGTCTAATCCAGAATAATATCAAAATTGGTAATACAGGGATAGCAACTTGTCAGGGAACACAGTCAACAAAATAAAAATAAAGGTTAAAAAGAAGATATAAAAAGATCAATCCAAACTCATAAATAAATTCAACAGCAATACAAGAACAGTGTAAATTAAAAGAGATTTAGTTTCAGCTAGTTTATAGGAAATCATGGCAGAGAAAGATAAAATATTAAATACCTGTTCAATAACAATATTCCGAACAATATTGTGTTAAATACCTCTTCAATAACAATATTATGTTAAATACTGTTCAATAACAATATTATGTTAAATACTGTTCAATAACAATATTCCGAACAGTGTTATGTTAAATACCTTTTCAATAACAATACTCCGAACAGTGTTATGTTAAATACCTTTTCAAAACAATATATACCTAACAATATTATGTAAATACCGTTCAATATCAATATTCCGAACAGTGTTATGTTAAATACCTTTTCAATAAAAATATATACCGAACAATATTATGTTAAATACCTGTTCAATGTTCAATAACAATATTCCGAACAGTGTTATTTTAAATACCTTTTCAATAATAATATTCCGAACAATATTATGTTAAATACCTGTTAAATAACAATATTCCGAACAGTGTTATGTTAAATACCTCTTCAATAACAATATTAAGTTAAATACTGTTCAAGAACAATATTCCTAACAGTGTTATGTTGAATACCTGTTTAATAACAATATTCAAAACAATATTATGCTAAATTCCCTGTTCAATAACAATATTACGAACAATATTATTTTAAATACCTGTTCAATAACAATATTCCGAACAATATTATGTTAAATACCTATTCACCAACAATATTCCGAACAGTGTTATGTTAAATACCTGTTCAATAACAATATTCCGAACAATATTATGTTAAATACCGTTCAATAACAATATTCCGAACAATATTATGTTAAATACCTGTTCAATAACAATATTCCGAACAATATTATGTTAAATACCTATTCAATAACAATATTCCAAACAATATTATGATCAATACCTATTAAATAACAATATTCCAAACAATATTATGTTAAATACCTGTTAATAAGAATATTCCAAAAAATATTATGATCAATATACCTGTTCAATAACAATATTTCGAACAATATTATCTAAACCAGGAACATCCAGGGCACCCGCGACTCCACCAAGACTAAATAATATAAATCTAAAGGAAGTGTTCGCTAAAAATAAAAGGGTGAATAAGAAATATCCCTACCTGTAATCAATTTCAGGATCAGAAAGGAAGAAAACCTGAACGCCACCTACAAAAGAATGTTTAAAAATGCTCCAAAATACATACATTACAGAAACATATAAAAACGATAATGTTTTTTAACTTTAATAATTTATTTTAATTAAATTTTACAATATTTTAAAATTTCAATATGATATCGGATAAAACGATAATGTGATGAAAGCAGTGCTATGGATCAATTACATTTTTGATCCGTCCAGAAAAAAACCGTCTTGAATAAGATTGACTGATTTTTTTAACAACTTCAGATTTGGGGCTTGAAAGCAAATAGTTTTTATTACAGTTTTTATATGATATTTTGCCTCTTGGATCCGTGGATTCACATATTTTTGCGGATTCGGAACCAGGAAGCCAAAATGTAGCGGATACTAATTCTAAGCACTGAATGAATTGAGAAAAGTTAAAAAAATGTACAAATAAAAAAATACCAATAAGAGGGATATCTGAGATCAGGGGCTTCAGCACAACCCTAATAAAATACATCAATCAATTTAAATAAAGTAGTAATCTCTGTTTGTTTGTTAGTATAGCTGATAATAACACAGGAAGCGCTTTACTGATTTGCCTCAAATTTTGATTGGGGAACACGGGAGTACCACGGGAATGTTCTTAGCTTGGTTTACAAGTTCTAAGGCGAGTGAATAACTTTTGTAGTGAAAGATTAGTTTCCAGGCTAAGCTGGGTTCTAAAGCTAGTATAAACATAAAGTAGTAATCTCTGTATGTTTATATGTCTGATCATGGTTCAGGAACTTCTTGACCGATTTGTCTCAAATTTTGATTGGGGAACTTGGAAAAACCACGTGAAAATTAGTTTCCAGGCAAAGCTGGGTTCCCAAGCTAGTAAACTAACATGAATGGACATGATAATTTGTTGACAAAAATTAACAAGGTTTGACATAAAAAAGCAAAATATTTGGCAAATCAAAACCTTAATTCTTAGGTTCAGAACTCTTTCCTTTCCATCAACTAGTGACATAAACAATTATTTAGGGTTCGTTTATCAAGTTTTATCTAAAAATAAAACAAGACATTCGTATATATATGTTGCAATTAGCCGGCCAAACGGCTGGACAGATTGGACTGAATTTTTTTGTGGACACTCATGTGTGGCCGGGGTGTGTTATAGGGTAATAAAAATGTTTATTTCAAACTTTTTTTTTCAAATTTTTTTTTCCTACGGGCAACGCCGGACTTTTTAGCTAGTTGTTCAATATTTACAAGGCTTGGTTAAGCTTTGGTTTGTATTAAATTCCCCCAAATTCTTGGGTTCTGAAGCAGATTTTAAAATAAACTTTAATGTAAAAATATCCCCCCCCCCTCTAGTTAAAGGGATTGTAAGCGTAATTTTAAGTGACCCTCCAGCAAAGGGCAACGAGGGATTTACATGGAGGGTCACTTGTAATTACGCTTACAGTCCCTTTAAAGCTTTGTCCCTGATAAAAATATTTACCTCAGCATACCCCTGAGACTAAACTCAGATACCCGAGCTTTAATCCTCTTGACACTAAACTCAACCTGTGTCATACAATGGTTAAACTAAAAACATGCTCGCCTTTAATATAAAAGCTTTGAGTAATAATAATAATACAGCAAATGGCTGTACAATTAAAACAAAATATTTACCTCTAAATCACTGGCAAATACAATATCTATATCCAAGATAATCTCGTTCCTGCTCGTCTCTTTCTCATTGTAAACCTAATTATTGAAAGGGTGTTTAGATATGAAGCTGTGACAGGGGCGTGATATATAAATCACGGGGGGGGGGGGGGGGGGGGTTAATGCCATGGAGGGGTAGGGGCAGGCGGAAGAGATATATCGACTGTGAATTCGCTTGCTTGGGGGCGTTCCTTCAAATTTAATTTATACCTTGACTCCTGTTATCCTTGGCGGAACATGTCCTAGATACACTCGCTCTCTTTCAAATTTGAAACCCTGAAAACCACTTATTATTTTACAGGTTGAAAAGTAGAAATCTGGGAACTAGTTTGATAAAAATCCGCAATTTTTAGAATACATCTTTGGAATGGTCAGAACTAGAGCAATGTCCTTCCGGGAAGAAAATGAACCCGAAATTTTAGTGGCAAATGATAGTAATGAGGTAGGATATATATTATCAATTTTAAATAATTTTACATTTAAATCAAAATGCAACTAGGGTTATTTTATATATAAATGAATATTTTTTCTTCTTCTATCGTTAACATTTAGGGTATCCTTGCTGAACCTTGCGACAGTGACGAAAGTAACCCCGGGGTGTCTGGCACTTTAGGAATACAATAAAGCCGTTTTAACCGTTAAATGATCGAAGTTTTAATCTTTTGTCAGGGATATACAATATGTACAGTGATAACCAGAAAACTCTGGAATAGGAAGACAACTTTGAGAATCAAGTTTAAACACAGCAATTATGCAGTGTAAACAGATCCAAGTAAAAAAGTAATTTTATAAGTGTCTGGTAAAACTATTTGCTTTCTAACACCATCAATTACACTAAGTATTGCTATAATGTCGTCATCCTTTTCCATTGTTTTCTGGTTATCCCTGTATGTATTTTTTTTTAAATCATTCTACATCAATGTTTTTTATATAAACGGTGTTTAATGGACTAGGCACTGTTTTATATAAACGGTGTTTAATGGACTAGGCACTGTTTTAAGCACAAGATTTGGCGAAGGTCTTCCAACATTTGGTGAGGGAACTCTCCAGGATGTATTACAAAGTCTACTTTATAGGTTTGTTTACATCATTATTCATAATTTCTCGAGATTTAAATTCAAACACGGAGATTTAAATTTGAAACTATATCAATTTTATTTGAGACAATATATTTTTTTTTTTAATGTTCAAAATCAGAGGCGTACTCAAGGGTGGGGGGGAGGGGCTAATAGGGTCTCAGCCCCCTGGATTAGTAAAATCTATGGTTTCCCATGGGGGTTCAGGTCCCAACGGGTGTTGAGCTTTCCCATCCCTTAAAAGGAAAAAAAATGTATCTTCCTTGGACAAATTCCTGAGTACGCCCCTGTTGTAATATAATATACTTTAAAATGCTTGTATAGAGACGCCGAGGAAGATGAGGATTTTGAAGCAGCTGGAGAGGTTTCCAGCGACAGTGACGAAGACTCAGACGATGATTTAATGGAGGTTGATGAAAACACGGATTCAGATTTTGAGATGATAGTTGCTGAGAGGAGAAGAAGAGAGTCTGAAAGGGAACTGGAGTTGGAATTGGAGAGGGAACGAAGTGAACCGGAGGGCGGCGGGTTAGTTCGACTGCCTATTTCTGAGAAGAAACTGGTTTTCATGTTTGTTTACAGAGATGATTTATCATCGGATCAGTTTGTAGAAAGGGTGAGATTTAAAAAAAAATTCGTCTGTTTTTCTATTGTTTTGAAACAAATTTTTAGTTTCCTTTCTAAAATCTATATGAACAAAGGAACTGAGATTTTGCCATAAACTCAAATTTTCATATTTATTTGCAACCTGATGCTGAATACCATTAATATTTAAAACTTAGGCTATTTGATCTAACAGAATTCATAGTTTGAAATATAAATGGTCTACAACATCGTGTTGGAAATATTTAGGGGTTAGAAAATCTGAGTTTTTGGCAAAAATACGATATTTAATCTCTAGGTTCTGAAGAGCTCTGAAATAAAACAAAAGCTGGAGCAGAGATGTATTCTTTGGGGAAGATACTGTGGTTCTCAAAAGAAAGTTAAGCAGCTTAATCGCGAGATTAACAGTATGTACGGAATGAGAAGATTAACCAAAGATCTTCTGACTGGATTGACAATATTCTGGTTGATGGAAAGAAATGGAAATTTCAAAATAATCTCTTCTCATAAAACACAAGATCTATCAACACCAGAGATGTTTATGCAAGTTTTTGATGCAAACAGTTTACAATTCAGGTTAAATTATAATATAAGTCTAAGCGAAACAAAAAATCTTATAAATTATGGAGGCAGAATGCAAGTATGGCTCACCAATATTTTACAAAATTTCTTAAACTATGAAAATCAGGTTGCAAAGATATAAGGATTTAAAAATTTGAGTTTGAGGCAGAAGAAATAAACTTCATAATATTTTAATTATGAACTAAGCTTATTTAAACTCTTTTTCATATATATATATATTTAGTACTGAAATGGAGAAGGTTGCCATGAGAGAGAGAGATAGATCTATCAGAAGACAACAGCTTCAAGAGTATAAAGCAGCACAACAGGAAGATCTACAACGGGAGAAGGATGTAGCTTTGATGCAAGAAAACCAGGAGAAGGAAGCAGCTCTAGAGAAGGAGATACAGGAGAAAGAAGCAGCAAGATTGGAAACTGCAAAAGAAGCAGCTGAATCCAGATTACCTGATGAACCTGAACCTGGAAGCGAGGATTGTTATTATGTTAGAATCCAGGTTCCTACAGAGTTACTGGAGAGAAGGTTCCTAGGAGAACATACTGTTGGGAACCTGGTAGATCTAGTTCTTAGCAGAGGTCTCAGGGAAAATAGTTTCCAGCTAGTTTCATATCCAAGGATAAATATCTCAGTACCATACAGTACTCCGATATCTCAGCTAGGGTTAGGAACTAGGTTTCTTCTTCAAGCAGTGAATATCAACTCTGATTAAACCAGGGGCCAGAACAGATTTATTAAATATGACTATATAGTAAATTTAATAATAGATAGCCTTTAAACATAATAAAAAGTTTAGTGGTAGTTAAATTGCATGTATCATTTCATTCAAATAAAAAATGTTGTTAACTGAACAGATCACAAAAATTGGGGATGCGAAAGATAATTCTAATTGAGAGACAAATCATTCTAAGGTTTAAGAACAAGTTCTCGTCAATGCATTATCTCTATGCAGACACTGATAGCGGAGTATCACAATTGGCTAACCCAGTAGGAAAAAGAGCTTACAGTAAAGTTACAAGGGGTTTAGCCATAATAACAACTGTGTTGGTATTCTTGAACAGTTCATTTGTTTGCAATCAATTCTTTAAAAACAAACGCATTTAAAGAAATAAAGTGCTCTGACTTCAGGGCTAAATGAAAATGGTAAAATTCGGAAAACTGTTTAATTACCTTGATTCCATATCCATTGAGAATGTTTGTGACAAGGGGCTCAACAGTTTCAAATAATGTTTTCCTCACATAATTGTTCACATTAGGCCACAACTAAAAAGTTCAATATTTTTCAGCTGATAAACACGATCGTTTTAAATAAAGGATTTCATTCTAGAATATTTGTAAATACCGACTATACCGACCACCTACAATGTCTCAGATAAGAAGATCAGATGAATTAATCTGATTTTATGATTTTAATTGCACAAAATCTTGTACAGTGGGAACCAGAAAACTGTAGAATAGGAAGACGACATTAATGCAATACTCAAGCGCACTTGATGTTGTTAAAAAGCAAATAGCTTTACTTGTAATTATTTTATCATTAATTCAGTGAAATGTGTCTGTTTACACTGCACAATTGTTGTGTGTCTCATGTTGTTTGGACTATTTAAAGCAATAACTTGAATCTAAATGTCGCCTTCCTAATCCCGAGTTTTCTGTTTCTCAAGAGAAACGAATAATTTTACAAATAAATGTACAGCATCTGAAGATGAGGTTTTATCCTATTTTTTGTAAACCAATAAAAAAACGCGATATTAACAACGAGGATTTATTTTTATAAAATACAGTCTTTTTTCAACTCAAAAGAAACCCAGCGATCCCAGCGATCTCATTAATAAGTATATGAACTTTGATTGTGCGGTGTATAATCTAAAAGGATTAACCTGTTTAATTATATTGTTGACCCATTCAGCTCTCTCCTTATCAGGGAAGTATACCCAGGATGGTAAATCATCAACCAACATTCTAAATATCATTCAAACTTAACAAATGTTCATGAGACTCTTTTGTAGAAAGAAAAGAGACTTCAAGATTCTAGATCAATAATAACTTTACTATTTATAGAAAGGGGGGGGGGAAATAAAAAGTTTTTACCAGTCTCCGTATTTTTTTTGAGGAATTCTGAAATAAGTCCAATTGGGAATTAATGTTGTTACTTACTTCCTACTTTAACTTCTAACAAGGTTTAGATATGTTTCAGAGTGAGTCTATGAACATAGAATTGGGAAAAGTGAATAAATACTAAAAATAAAAATAGTTTAAAAATAGGATTTATTCACTTTGGGGTAAAAAATAACAATTATTTTCACATATTCTATTCTTTAAACCCATTATATTCAACAGTGCTTTAGGATCCATTTAAATTTGAAGCGGATCCGTATAAGATCATGCACATTTTTCTGATTTATTTTAACAAAGAAAATTTTTTTTAAACAAATTTTTTTTCTTTTTTTCGCTTATTTTAATGCTCGATAAACCATTCAGCGATAGGAAAAGTTTTGATAATCTCTCTTTTTTACAGTCTAGATTAGAGTTTCAAGAGTAAAAAACGTTTGGTTCGCAGTTTTTGATTAATATAATTTTGCTCCTTGGATCCGGATCCAAGGAGCAACGGATCCGGATCCTAGGCACTGGTTTTCAATATATTTAAAAAATGTTAAACTTGAAGTGTTTCTGGTAACAACACCTAAAACCTGTTAAACATCAAACCACGCAAAAAAACGGTTAGTCAAAAAAATATTTAAAAATCCTACGTGCAAAAACAAATGGTTAAGTTTGTTAGTATAAATTATAACATGAAATCTTCACTTGTTATATCATTGGATTTTAATCTATAAAGGAATTGAGTCTTTGTCACAGACTCAAAAATTGTAATCCCTATATCTTTGTAACCTTATGGTGTAAGCTTTTGATATTTCAAACTTTGATTCTTTGATCAAACAGAATTCATAGTTTGAAATATCTAAGGTCTACGAAATTGGGTTGCTCAGATATAGGAATGGGAAAATCAGAGTTTGTGGCAAATACTCAAATCCTTTATCCAGTACAAACAATATAGATAATATTAGGAAACTAAGATTTCATGTTTGGGTAGATAAAACCCTGAACCTTGAATATCCAACCTGGAGGTGGTATCTCTAAACCTTAAAAATATATATATTCAAATATTTATTCAAAACTATCATGCACTAGATAAACTAAATATCTTTTAAGCAGTACTAATTCAAGTTTATTATTAACAGTTTCAAGTCTAGCTCTGAACTTCATCGATATGTTTCCTTCCATTAGAATAAGCCACTCAACATTTTATTGCAAAGAACTCGGCCAATTTTCAGTCCCAATGGATCCAGAATTGGATCCAGTCAGCAGAAAAAAACTAGATCAGGCGGATCTACATTCTGAGCACTGCTATTTTACCAAATGTTTCTGAAAAGATAAAACAGTTTCTGTCTGTGCTGTTTCACAAGGAGACCAGAGCAAGGCTGGTTTACTAGATTTACTACTGGATTCAATCAGATACGTCCATGAAGGACGCATTATACCAAATTTTCTTAATTGAAACCTCTGATAAATTAAAACCTCTGAAAAATTAAAACCTCTGATAGACTAAAAACCTCCTCGAATGATGAATTAAATTTTTCTTAGGTTTTCACTATCTACCTTAATTAAAAAATGTTGTTCATGGTTCTGAGTTTAGACCATGTCAGCTGGAACTCTCGCTCAATTATTACAAGGTTTAACACTTTCTGTTTTCTGTACGGTTCATGTTTTAAACTTAAATGGCATAATTTTAATCCCCTAATTCAAAATTTTGAACAATTTTCTAATGTTGTAAACTTCAATGACGCACTTACATATTTAAAATAAATTTTTATTTTCCCTTATTTCAGTAAAACAAAGGAACGAAGTTTTTGCAACAAACTATATTTGCAAATCCCTTTATCTTTGCATCGCGGTCGTGTAAACCTTAAATTTTTCAATCTTAAATTATTTGCTCTAATATATTTAATTCATAATTGAAATGAAAAATCAAATGTCTCCGATATTGGATTGCAAAAATATATGGATTACGAAAATCAGAGTTTGTGTCAAGAACGCAGGTCCTTTAACCTTACATTAACATTAATGATCGAGCAAATTTGAGCTAAGATTTGCATAAAGCTAAATACTAGGTTAATAAGAAAAAACATAAAGCTAAGTTCTGATAAAATAAAATTTTGAAATTTAAACTAACTACCAAACTAAAAACTTCTAACTGCTGAAATCTAATAAATGAGTTTAAAGCATTGAGTACCTTGATTCTATCATAGCCTGTTCATTTGTTAAAGCGGCTTCTCTTGCTGCTGCCAATCTTTGTCTTCTCTCCTTCTTATATTGATCCCTAAACGAAATAAACATTTTCTTGTCTTCTCTCCTCACTACTTACATATACACACAGACCTGATCTAGTCCATTGGTGATCAGTTTAAAGTAATTTTATAATAATAATCATAATAATTAATACAAAAAAAATTATGAAAATTAAATAAAAATAATTATTTATGAAATTGAAGAATTTATTTTCTAACCTGAGTGCACTAAGAATAAGTGGGGTGATCATCCAGGCTATACTCCAGTTCCAGTATCCTAGCATATAGGTACACAGACATGCAAATCCTCTCCAGCTTAACTTCTTCACAAACCCTGGAGTACCAAGAGTATCATTATCATCATTATTATCATCTATTGACAAAAATTTCTTTCAGAGTTAACAATTTCCTCCTCTCAACCTGGTCCAGATTTATTGCCTGCTTTTCGTACAAAATTTAATTTTCTTTCGCACAACAAATTTTTCTTTTGGCAAGTTTGACACAGTAAAATGTTTTCAGAAAATGCAGACTTGTAAAATCTCAAATACATAAATCCAATTTATAATGTTGTAAATGATTTTTTGTCTTAATATACTATAAACTGTTCAAATGTAGACCTTCAAAGGGGACTGTAGGCGTAATTTCAACTGACTCTACATGCAAAGATGACAATGCCCGATTCACAACGATAGCCTTGATACCTTTATCTGATTAACAAGTCCTACATGTTTTCCTGCAGTAGAAATGCAAAAGTCACTTATATAAAGTAACCACAATTGGAAATAATTTTCAAAATTATAAATATTCATATATAATTCATACTTGATCAGACAAAGCTTTTAAGGGTACCGTTGTGAATTGGGCATTGCTATACTTGCATGAAAGGTGTCTTGAAATTGTGCTGGCTGTCCCTTTAAACAAGGCGAAACTACTAAATAAACATTCTATACGAAAGGATGAAAGAAGCTTCATGTTTAAATTTTCTTTTTCTTTTCTAAGCGTGTGTAAAATATCAAATAAATTTGTACCTAAAACATGGCTACCCTGTTCCCTGGGGGGAAGAGTATCCATCTCCTTTACTTCTGTAGTATCCATCTTATTCAAGGCTTATTCTGTCAGCATTTGTAATCTGTAATTAACAATAGGATTATATTCCATCAATACTTAATTTTATAGAAATAACAGCATATTATCTTAAAATCATTAGTTTCCATTTTATTAATAATTATCTTTAAAAGATATCTAAATCTATACTTGCTTCACATATGCTTATGAACACAAAGTCTGGACCTTAATATGTCACGGACTAACATCTAATACACAGTTCTTTGTTTAAATAATTATCTTTAAAAGATATCTAAATCTATACTTGCTTCACATATGCTTATGAACCCAAAGTCTGGACCTTAATATGTCACGGACTAACATCTAATACACAGTTCTTTGTTTAAATTTGTCAATGGCTGTAAAACTATTTCTGTATGTGTGTGCTGTGTATGCATATCAATAAAAGATTTTGTATGTGTTAAATCCTTGACGGTATACAGAGAACTAGTAAAGATAATACAATTCTGTGTGTATAGGGTAGATTGAAGATATGAATATTGATTGTATTGATTCATTAAACTATTCGGATAATACAGGTGTAAAACTATTTCATTGTGAGAAACAATTCTAAAATGTTATTCCATCGAGATCCGTATCATTCACTTCAATTACTATCTCGTCATTCTCGTTCAGTCTAAAGTAAGAATTATTCATTTTTAAACCGATTAATTTATTTACAATAAAAGCGTGAACATATTTTCAAGTTTAAAAAGTGGCAAGTCCGATTCACAACAGTAATATTTTACCCTGTATGACAATGATATTTCCGTAGTTATACATAAGTGTTGAATTTTCACAATTTTCTAAACTGTCTCCGCAAAATAAATCCGCACGTCACTTTGACAAAAAATCTACAACTTGCTTTTCACTTAGAAAATAAGCATATATCTAAGTTTAGAATAATTAGACAAAGATTTGAAAGGTACTATTGAGAATCGGATATGATATTCTAGGAATAGAGTTACTTGAAATTACGTCTTAAATTCCTTTATTACAATCGACAATGTGAAAATGAAACATTTTTTAAACTGATCCTTCATTTTTTCTACAGCAGTGAACAACTTTTTAGCATATTCCAGCACATGAGAAATTCGAGTCGTGTGACTATATCAAGGCATAAATTGAATTAAAATTAGAACTATAAAACATTACACAGTAAATTACAATGTTTTACCTCACACTGTCATCCTGCAATACCACAGATTCGCCGCCTAAATAAGAATTTGTTTATTTTTCAATTTAATTGGTTTAAATGTATTATTTGCAGGGTGGCCAAAACTTTTTTGAAAAAATCCGTACAAAAATCCGTACATTTTCAGAAAAAAATCCGTATAAGCCGTACAATTTTCGAAAAACAATCCGTACATCTTTTTTTTTGAAAAAATCCCTACATTTTTTATAAATCTGTAAATTTTTTTTAAAAATCCGTACAATTTTCGAAAAAAAAACCCTACAATCCGTACATTTAAGAAAAATAAAACCATTTTTGAAAATATTATTCAACACTTTCTCACCCCTCAACCAATGATGTTCCCTCTAACAACCTATATTCCTGGTAGTAAAAACTACTGTAGGTATTTGAATGCTTGGATGAGAACCCGGAAATAATGAAAAAAATAAGATCAACTGAAGAAACTCAACTTAAACTCAATTTTAAAATCCATTTATCTTTTCAACCTGAAAACCTTTGGTTTTTGAAACAGAGCCTAAATAATCTGGCAGAATTCACAGCTCATAATAACAAAAATCTACCACATAAGGTTGCAAAGATATAAAACTTAAACATTACTATTAAACACTCGAGAGCTGGAGAACTAGAGAACTAGAAAACAAGAAAACTTAGAACTAGAGAAATAGAGAACTAGAGAACTAGAGAACTAGAGAACTAGAGAACTAGAGAACTAGAGAACTAGAGAACTAGAGAACTAGAGAACTAGAGAGCTAGAAAACTGGAGAACTAGGAAACTAGAGAGCTAGAGATCTAGAGAACTAGAGAACTAGAGAACTAGAGAACTAGAGAACAAGAGAACTAGAGAACTAGAGAAATACAGAACTAGAGATCTAGAGAACTAGAGAACTAGAGAACTAGAGAACTAGAGAACTAGAGAACTAGAGAAACAGAGAACCAGAGAATTCATTAAATTCGGGCACTCTTCGTTTGCAACCGTCGATTTATTATTGTACCCTAGTAATAGTACATAATAATAATTCAGTTTCACCTAAAATCCGTTTACTGAATTGAGATGAATGTTATGTTACTAGTCACCTGTTCTGTAAATATCATTGAGAAATTCGAGTCTTTTGTTGGTGGCATCTCCTCCCTCTCTACTGTCCAGTCTAGTTCATCAAAATTATTTAAATTTCTACTATTACAAGTTAATGGGGACCTCAGCCATTTTATAGCGTATGGATCGGATATATATGGATCAGATAGCGTATGGATCAGATTGCGTATGGAACGGATAGCGTATGGATCAGATAGCGTAAGGATTGGATAGCGTATGGATCAGATAGCGTATAGATCAGATAGCGTATGGATCAGATAGCATATGAATCAGATAGCTATGGATTAGATAGTGTATGGATCAGATAGCGTATGGATTGTATAGCATATGGATTGGATACATTATTAAAAATACAATCTGAATATGGCTGAGGACAACGGAAAACTTGATCGAAGAGTAGAAGAGTCAGTAGGGACTGTGTTTTGGCTGAGGGCATCGGAAAACCGCATTAAAAATAATAAATGCAATAAATCTTAATTGATTGGAAAGCATATGGAATGGATAGCGTATGGATTGGGTAACATATGAATCAGAAAGCGTATGGATCAGATACTGTATGGATTGTATAGCATACTGAACGGATAGCATTAGGGATCAGAAACATTATCAA